GAGAGCAAATGTTTTGAGAATGATGAGGGCAATGAATGTACAAATGTGCTTTACACAATTGATGTATTTATGGATTGTGATAAGAGTTATATGAGTCCCTAATAAAACTATTTTAAAAACAACCCAAAACCATGAAATCCAAAATCCAATCCTGACTCACAGTGATTCTTTAAGATCACTTAAAATTTCTGAGACTGTAAATCTTTACAGGAGCAGACAGCATTACCTTGTGCCTTTGGAGGTACTGGTGGTTTTGAGCCTCAGAAGTTGTATTTAGAGGTCCAATGCCTAGCCCATGATGCCGTATTATATGCTATACAAACACTTGCAGAAACCAGGATTTTCCATTTGTCATAATGGTGCCTTACCTTTTGTTAGCAACCACTTATTCATTTTTGAATACTGAATATATGATGGAGAGATCTTGAATATCTTGACTAACAGTCTATATGAAGACTGTACATTAGAAACACATACTCCATATCTATCCATACCTCCTAGAATACTTTGGACAGGGACTCAGTCTCTGAAATTGTGTAAAGTTTAATGAGTGCCCATTCCTTTGCAGGAAAGTTTTTGATTATTTGTCTTTTTAATGAAAAACAAAACTGTAGACAGCCAAGATAATGCATTTATTTTTCTAATTATTTTTTCAGTGGTTAGTATAATTGACCCTCTCCATTTTTGTAGGAATACATCTATTAGAGTCCCAACTAGTTCCATCTTTATTATCCAAGTTTATTTGTCCTGGGCCCGTTTGGGAAGACAGAGTTAAAAAAATGCTGGCTATCAAATGAAAAAGCATGTCTATTCTTTGTAACACTGATTACTATCTGTCATTTACATGCAGTGGTCTTATTGTATTTACTATACTGTTAATATAGGTTAAGAAATGATTTATCAGGAGCTCTGTGATATAAAACTGCTTTGAAAGAGCATATTTCCAGATACTATTGATACAAATTTTGAATGAATATAAAAGTGATTTGTCTTCAGATTTTATGTCACCAACTGTGTCCATGTTTGCCTCTAGATTTCTCATTATTCTACAGAATGATGGATAGTTAATGTACATAGTATAAACCTAAATAAGTGTCTTCGCATATGAATATAAAAACGGATCTTTGAGCTAGGTGATTCAGGTTTGAGATCTGCTGCAAATACTAATTAATAAGTGTTACCTTGGCTAAATCCTTTTCCTTTATTTGCCGTAGATGACAGCTTTGTGATGAGTCAAGGCTGAGCTAGAGTCCAAAAACTCCCTTTCTAGTGCATTTCCTAGAAGGGAAGAGATATTTTTCTCTAGACATGGAGGATGAGAAGGAGGCAACAGTCATTTTGTAATCACTTCTCTCAATCATACACTGCTCTCTAGAACCTACTCTGGAATGGTTTTGTAGGTATAATTAAATTCCCCAATCAATTGACTTTAAGTTAATCAAAAGGAAAAATTACCCCAAGTGAGCCTGACCTAATCAGATGAAAGCAATGAGTGTTTAAACCTTCTAAACGGGAGCTAGATGCATTATTATTCTCTGTTCCCTGCGAGTTTTTCTCTCGGTTGCTTGTCTGTGTGACTGTGGGCTACACTTCAAACCTGTTGAATCCCAGCCCTGTCTGACCTATAAACTTCTGGCTTGTATTTATACTGCTGGGTTAATCCTCATAGTTGTGTAAGACTTAGTCTCCTAATAAACCAGAACTGTATAAACACAAATATATATACATACACACACACACACACAGATGATAGATGAGAGATAGAAACACAGAGCTAGATAGATATAGATATATAGATACACACACACATTAAAGACAGGGCTTCAAAAAGTTCGTGAAAAAATTTGCATTATCTGTTATTGCCAATTTTCCAGGAACTTTTTGAAGCTCCCTCATGAATGTATGCTTATTCATCCATCCATCCAATCCAATCCAATCCAATCCAATCCAATCCAATCCAATCCATCCATCCTTTCTACTTGAAAGTATTAAATGTAGATCTTTTAGTCAAAGTCTCTAATGCCCATCAAATGACCTTTCCCTGCATGGGTCTTAGAGGTTGTGGGAAGATACTGATAGGATTCACCTGTGAGCAATTGCAAACAGGACTCCCTGGTATAACATATGTTGGGTATAACATGAACCCTCTGAGAATCAGGAGGGGATTTCATGACCAGCAAGGGCCAGGAGTAGACTGTATCTTTAGGACCTGAGATCTCTGCACAGTGAACCTCCTGGATCCAAGACGACAGCTTTACCATCAGAAGAGCAGAACCAGGAGCCAGAGCATAGAACGAAGGGATGGACTTCCTAACCCACACAGCAAGGAAAGATGACTGCTTCTGTGCGGGATGGCTTGCGGAGTAGGGTGCCTCTGGGCACTTAATTGGGGAAGTTGGGTTTGCTGTTCTATGGAAGTGGAGCTGAGTGCCTTCAGGCTGCAGCTAACTAGTGGGGTGCCTCTGGGCACTTAATTTAGGGAATTTGTGGCCCAAAAAACTTAAGCTGACTACCTTTGGGCTGTGGTTTATAGCAGAGTGGTATGCCCTCTGAGCATTTATTAGAAAACTTGACAGAACTTTGTAACATGACTTGATAAACCAACTCAACCCTGAGTATTTCTTACTGGCATTCCTACTTATTAACTTCTTTAACAAACCCTTCAATCATGAATTTTGTCTGACTTCTCTGTAGCCATTGCAATGGATATTAGAACCTAGAGAAGTAAAATGGGGAATATTAAGACATTACTAGTTTGTTTCTTTGGTTGAACCTTTCAGTGGAGTGAATTATTAAAAAGGGCTCTTCTAGCCATAGCCATTGTAACTCCCACCAAGTGATTGGGTGGGGCTATGCAAATAAGGTATATAAAATTCTAGTGAGGGGATTGGTCAATTTTGTTATTCAAATAAGCTTAAATGAACCATATAAAATGCAGAAAGGGGGGAATTTCACAACCCTCAAGAGAGGAGGTGACCTTAATAATGGGAACTGGATAAAGATTTCAGGACCTTAATTTTCTAATAGGCCATAACTGAAAATGAGAAGAAAAATAGCTAAAAGCATCTATTAATAATCAGAATATGAAACATATGAAGTACTCCAGCCTAGCCAGATTTGTAAGGTATAACTGGGTCATGATGGGGGGGGGGGGAAGGAAGCATTCAAGAACTAGAGGAATGTTGTGCTTCATGGGTGATGGGTGATATATCACACCATGGCTGAATCATACCTTCTGTGAGGGGATGTCAAGATCTAGCTTGATGTATGATGCTGTGATATAATATAGATGCAAAGAAATATAAAACAACTAATTTCTATACAACCAGTAAGCCAGGTCTCTTTTATGATTTTGAGTCCTCTTCCACATTTTTTTCTCACTCTATTCTGTACCTTCTAATATGATCCTTTATAGAACAGTTGGTGGTGGTGACTGGAGAGATTTTATTTTCTAAAGCCCAAATCAGTGTAATACCAAATTGAAGATGGAATTAGTCAAACTTTCCCATGTAAAATTTAATTTTTTAAACGGAAAGTAAATGGATTTATAAAAATATGTGTAATATATATGAAACTTTAAAAAGTAGTCTACAGTTGAATAAAGTATTGAATGTGTAGAGGATCTTTAATGATGTTTTAAAACATTAAAAGTAAAATCGTATATATATGCTCTTAGAATGACAACATTCTTATAAGTAAGATATTTTAATGTAAAGCTTTCCAGAAAAGTACATATCAAGTGTTGAGTTAAACTGAAGATGTGTCCTTTCCTTCACTGATCAGAAGTGAAAAATTTTGAAGAAAAATAAACACACAAAAATGAACCATAATGTTACATAGAGTGCTGCTTCTTCTCCAAACACTTCTCAATGTCATCAAGCACTTGCACAGCGGCCTTTGGAATGCGAGTCCCAGGACCAAACACATTGGAAACACCAACTTCAAACAGAAATTCATAATCCTGTGGAAAGAGTTTGCTTAATTAATGAAAGGCGATATTTTTAATGTCAGAGAAACAAAACACAAGAGCAATGAACCCAGTCTTTTCTTCTCTGTCCCCACTGCTCAGAACTTTCTAAATGGATACACCACTGGCATTTGAGGCTGAAGATTTATTTTTTATTGAGACTGCGAATAACAACTAGTAGGAACCACCCTCCTGCCCCAACTCATCCTAAGAAGCAAAAACACTCTTGTCAATTTTCCAAATAGTTCAGATGGCTGTTAGTGGCAGGCAGCTGTATAGGTCCATAAAAGATCATTCTTGGGACCTAAATCCATAATTTTGTTTATCCTGAATTTTCGGTTATTGTCATTATTTGTGCTAAATTTATTGTCATATGACAGCTCTGAGTTTACAAGCCTACTTAATTCTTCTGCCAGAGGGATTATTAACTTAATTAACTGCTGCCAGAGCCACTGCCATTGGATCTACCCCACCTTGCACCCACCCACCAAGATATTTCATATGCAGTTAGTGAATATGGGTATTTTAAATTTGACTTTAAAATGGAATCAGATTCCCTATAAATGATGATTAGTTCTTGTTTCTTCTTTTCTTCATTCTAATTTGTTGCTGCTGCTGTTTGTTGGTTTATTTTAACATGGTCAAGGTTTGAGTGAAAAAATCCCCACAACACATTTACTGCTCCATACATAAGGCTATTTGACATCAAGATCTGTTATAGCTATAACATAATTTTTTTTTAATGGAGTTGGTTTCAACTCAAAACACTTGACATAGGAGTTCAAGGCTGTAAATCTTTATGGAAATAGATCGTCTTATCTTTCTCCAAATGGAGCAGCTGATGGGTTTGAACCACCAACCTCATGTTTAAGTCCAGTAAGTAAGCCCAATGCTTACTAATAAGTGCCACCAGGGCTTCATACTATAGAGTTAAGGACATGCTTTATAGCCCTGATCCTCATCCACCAGAGTTGACTGTATATGCCAAGATATTCTGGTTTGTGCTGGTTGTCAAAGTAACATTTTCATTATCAAATGTGATTTTATTTTGGTGATAAATTATAGTCATGCAAATTATCCACCACTAATTTTATTTTCTTGATTATATTCTTGTAATATATTATTATAGTAGTATGACTCTGCAATGGTACTAGCACACCTATTGAACTTTGTCTTCTCCAAGAGTGTGAATTTTTTGAGACCAGATGTTAAAAAATAAAACGCAGCAAAACTTTTTGTTGTCAAGTCAATTCTAACTGATGGCAACTCTGTTATAGAGTAGAGCTACTCCATAAGTTCTCTTGGCTACAAACTTTATAGAAGGAGACACCAAGAACATTTTCTGTGGTGCAAATGGGTGGTTTTAACTACCAAACTCAGGTGAATAGTTAGTGGAAAACATGTCACTGTTCTTGGGCAGGTGCGATATATGAATTTTAAAAGCACATGAGAAAACTGGATGAGATCTACAGTAGCAATCGTCTCACAATTAGGCGTGGTAGTTACATAATTCCATGTAAACTTGACGATATATGCAAGTGGAGGGGTGGTATTCAACCTGTCAATCAGGTCGCAGCCTGATGGTGACTCCTTGTGGGCACGGCCTTCTCATAAGGATCCTGGAACCCTCTCTCTCTGCCTTCACCTTCCTGCTGGATGATCCCGAACTGCTGCCGGAGCCACTGGCATTGGATTCACACCACTTTGCACCAACAGGCCTGTCATCTTCCTGCATTCTGCATCACTGCATATGGTTGCGCAAGTCTAAAGAGGAACTTATGGACTAGTATTGGACTTAAGTACTTGAATTGGACTGGGCTGGCATGTTTTGCTTTTTTTTCAGGGGAGAGCGCAAACGCAGTCCCCCACTACCACAAATTATGCAGTTGAGTTTCCCATATTTGGGGAAATCGCAGGGGTCAGCATTTCCGGAGTGCAATGGATAACCCTTGCTCTGGGAAAACCACCTTCGTGATCATGGTATCTCCCCTGCCAGGTAAAAGTTATTTGCATATTCTGTACAGTAAACCCTTATTTGATATATGATTTCCCCAAATATTTTCCCAGTCTGTATGTAGACTCTTCATTGGGGATGGAAGAACTTCGATTAACAGAAGTGTGTCATTTTGATGAGGTCCCACTTAGTGACTTTGGCTTTTATTGCTTGTGGTTTGGGTGTCATATTTAAGAATTTATTGAAGGGGTCAATTTATTGACCCCAAAGCAATACCTTTATGTTTTCTTTATCGAAGAGTTTGATGGTTTTAGATTTAAAAAATGAAAACTAGCACATGTCAGCAAAGATGTTGAGAAATCAGAACTCTCATCCATTGTAGGTAAGATGTAAAATGGTGCAACTACTGTGAAAAATCGTTTTTTCAAAAAGTTAAACTTAGAAACATAGAGTATGACTCAGCAATCCCATTCTTGGGTATATACCCAGATGATCTGAAAGCAGCGATGCAAACAGACATATAGTCCAGTGTTTACTGCAGTACCTATTCACAGAAGCAAAGGTAGAAACAGCCCAAGTGTCCATCAACAAATGAATGGATAAGTAACTGTAGATACATACAATGGAAGACTACTCAGTCATAAAAAATAAATAAAGACTTGATATAAAAACAACAGGAACCTTGAAAACATTATGCTGAATGAAGTCAATCAAAAAAACCAAATATGAAGTCAATCAAAAAAGAACTAACAAAAATTTATCTAATATGAAATGCCTATAATAGGCACAACGATAGAAATTAGAGTTTTATAGTAATTGACAAGAACAAAAGAAAAGGAGAAAGAAATCACTGTTTAGAAAAGAGTGAGTTTCCAGTTTTAGTCAGGAGAAATTTGGCAATGGGTACTGGTTGTGGTTTCACAACATAACTGCAGCAATTGATGTCACTGAATGCACACATGAGGATAATGTTTAATTGGCAAATGTTGTGTCATCTATATTTTTTACAACAATTTTAAAAAGTTTTCATTTTAAATGGTCTCTATGGAGTTGGGTTTGGACTATCACATTGTCTGTGTCAAGCTAAATTTTCCTAAACTATCTAAAGGCGACTACTGCTAAAGAAGGCTAGAAAATCATGGGCGTAATAGATACTGGTAAGGAGATACTGGCCATATTTATTTGATCGCATGGTGGAACCTAAACGCTTCCTAGTGGCAGTTTGATCAGTTTGATCAACCACCATTCATCAGTGCCTTCTAATTTAATTCGGTGAAAACAAATATCAAGAAAAAATAGTTGACTGCTATAATCATCTTGTGAAGGACAGTCATTAGCACTAAAGTACGTCATTATAAGAAATTGGTCATTACCGTCTTTAAACTCATGGGAGAAAAGCCTGGCAAAACACATACGCATGTTCTAAGTAATTTCACTATCTAGAGGGCAATACAATTATAAATGTATTTCTTGAAAATGTCAGCTCACTTACATAATAACCCGACATTTCTGTCTCAACTCATATTTTAATTCAAATATTCTGTGCTACCTAATTACATTGGTTCTTATATTTTAATGGCATACTTAAGAAGTTAGGTATTATATCTTCATGAACTGCAGTATTGACAGTATTCCATAGATAGAAAGCTAGAAAAACATAGATAGATAGAAAAACAATAGCCCTTTATTTATCCAAATAGTAAATTACAGGAAAATTATAGTCAGGAGTCTGAACAAAAGTAGTTTTCCTGTTGGCACTAAACACTATGTTGGTAAGGAGCCCTGTAGCACAGTGGATTAATCACCGGGCTGTTAGCTATGGGGTCTGAGGGATAAATGTACCAGTTACACGGAGGAAGCAGAGGCCCTCTGCTCCATAAAGCTGTAAGGCCTCAGAAGCCCTAAGGACAGTGGTACTTTGTCCCACAGGATCACTATAAGACAGAGCAATGCAATGGCAGTGGGGTGGTCACTCCATTGTTAGAAAGATAGATAGTAGCTTGTTTTCTAACAAGGAGTTATAACCAAGCTCATAAATGCATGCACATGTACTTTCTCATTTCATGAGTACTGGATAACTTCATTTTTCTTTTATTCTAATAAATTTTCTGGTGGGCTTTCTGAAACATATGGAAATAATTTATCTAGCATAGTCTCAAACATGATTCTTCTAAGTTTAGTACTTTGCCATTATCGTTAAAAAGGAAAACTTGTAATAATTTAAAATGAGATTGAAAACAGACAATATTTATAACTTAATTATTTTAACTTACTAGAAAAGAAATAAGAGAAAGGCACCCCCCCCTCAATCAATTAATTAATTGACATCATCAATCGTTTACCTAGCAGTCATTTCTCCTTTTCCAAGAGGGCACCCATTTTTCCTCAAGTATCCACCTCTGCCCCATTCAGCTCCTGTCAAGCAGATTCCTTTATGTCTGAATTAGTTAAGGTCTCCAGATCTGAGAAAAATATATCCCAAATGAAGTAGCTAAATAATAAAGGGGTTTTACAGGACCATGTCACTGATATAGCTCTGAAGTGGAGTGCTAATTGGGCATGGGAAAACAGGAAATGGGCAAGGAGGAGCCTCTAAAACAGCAGAAGCAAATGTTCCAGTTGGCTGACTGAAGGAAATCATTCCACGGCCAGGATAAGGCGTCTCTGCTGCCAAGATATGGGTTCAAGGGATTCACTGAGTATTTACCATTCCTCGGTATGCCAACTGCTTTTGTCCTGTCCCTGCTCCATCACTGTGGTGGACATGAAGAAGTTGGCTTATCTATCTGAGGTTACTGATTTGTGAAGAGGCAGTTCTCGCTTAAAAGCTTGGTACATTGTTAAATTAAAATATGCCACCAGCTAAATTACAATATAGCTTGACAAGAAAATAGTGACATTGCCTACTTTTGGAATGTACAAAACCCACTGAGGAAAATCACCAGGAAATAATCCCGTTCCAAGTCTACAACACATTTCATAAAAGTGCACACTAAAACAGCACATTACATAGAAGCTAAGATTACTCAGGAATTCCGCCAAAGAAGCAGATAGATATTGGAGCGAAAATATACCTGGGGTGGTATGACCCCTCCACACATGACAAGAATATCTGGCCGTCCCAGGGAGTCAAGTTCTTTGATGAGCTCGGGAACGAGGGTTTTATGACCGGCAGCTAGTGTGCTCACACCCACAGCATGCACATCTGCGTCCACAGCCTGCTGGGCCACTTCACGGGGAGTCTGGACAATAGAACGAACACATATAGTACACATACAATACACACCAGTTATCTCAGTCAACCCGGACTCATGGTCACCCTACAGTATCAGAGTAGAGGTGTGCTCCACAGGGATTTTAACTGGCTGCTTTTTCGGCAGACTCTTATCAAGCCATTTTTCTGAGGTGACAAGTGGACTCAAACTTCCAGCCCTTCGGGTAGCAGCCGAGTGTTAGCTGTGTGCACCACCCAGAGACTCCACTTCCAGCACTAAAATTCACTGATTACAATTGTGCCACAACTAGTTCCCCCAAAGAATCTTCAAAATAAAAGAGTAATATGAGTAAGATGTACTAGCTCTCTTCAGTATGATTGCTCTTAAAGCACTGGCCTCCAATGTCCTCATTATCAACATGCATTTATTGAGTGCTTGCATGTGTCTGTGAAAAAGACTAACCACAAGAGGCAAATCATCAGTTTTCAAATAGAATGGGCAATTATTAGAAGAGGAAGGAAAGCAATCTAAATATGTAAGAAGCCTCCAAACCAGGTCTCTTTAGGAAAGTTCACTTGTTCATTAGGGAAAAGCAATGAATACTCTTTAGCCCTTACCTTACATGACCTACCTATAGATTTCCTACACACTGAAATCCTGCTGCTAATCCTGTGCTGCCTCCTCCTCCTGTTCCCCTAAAATGTTCAGGACCTTTTTTCATCTAATTTATACACAGCTCTCATGGCAAATGAATCCCATCAAAGAAGCAGATAATTGCCATTTATTTGTTATATGGTATTTCTCAAAATTGTTAGGTCTCAACCCATTATTTTACTGTCTGATATTGTCTGATTAAATTAAATACTACTAAAAAGTAAAGAGAATAAACATCTACTGATGAACTGAACTCGCTCAGAGGTTGTGTTTTCTCAAAACGATTTCCATAAACCCCATTAATTAGGCTATCTTTCCAATAAAATATAAATCACATCTCCGTAAGTAATCAAATAAGGTCTTTGAAAATAAGGTTCAGTTTCAAAAGCCTAATGAACTATTTAATTCTGAGCTGACATTTACTTTGCACTCTCAACAAGTGTGTCAGAACGTGTACTTCACTCTTGTCACGATTCACTGGACTACATCTATTAAAAATAAATTAAGGGCTTTCCTGAATATGTTCTTCTTGTGCAAAATTAACTAGGTTTAACTCTAGTATTCTTGTCAGCATAAGTTACACAGAATTCCAGTGTGACTTAGTGTATACTTTTTGAGACTCCTCCCAATAAGTTTTAGTACCTGAAAAAGGGGGCCTATGTCCACATCAAAACCAAGATCAGCAAAGCCTGTAGCAATAACTTTTGCTCCTCTGTCATGGCCATCTTGTCCCATTTTTGCAACAAGAAGACGAGGCCTGCGACCTTCACGTTCCATGAAATTGTGAACCCTAAGGAACATTTTAAAACCCAACAGTTATATCTTAACTGGCCAAAGGGAAGGCAGAAAAACAGAACTATTTTATGCCAAAGAGTTCTAGATTATTAGAAAAAACATGATGTGCCTTATTTGTGCTTTGCTAACACCCCTATTTTACACGGAGAGTTCCATTAAAGCTGGAATATGCTTATCATTGCTCACTTAAAGGAAAATTTGGAAGATGGCAATGCCTGCAAACACAAAAGCCTGAGGCTATCACAAGGAAGAAAGCTGAGAAAATGATAACTTTCTATCTTCTTGAGCAAGTGTCCAGAATATAGTGTACACAAATATTTATATATAAACTTTAAATAACCTTATGGGGTCATTTATACATAAGTGCCTCCCTAGCTGTTTTGGACTGTTCATTTTTCAATGGCACCTCTTAGGTGTGGACTCTTCTAGGTAGATTACAACCAAAATACCAAACTTTCCACCATCAAGCTGACTCCGACTCACAGCAGCCGTGTAGGATAGAGTGGGATTGTCCTGCGGGCCTTTAAGACTGTACATAGTTACAAGGACAGTATTTTATAGTGATGTGCGACCAAAATGCTCGTTTACTCAGAAACCAGTAGATTTATTCCCAATATGAAAAGCACTACATTTATTTTAGGTAAAGAAACTGTTCCCTTTTGACTGTTGGAACATTGGCTGTTTTGATATTTATCTAGTACACAGTACTGACTCAAAAGTTTCAGTGGGATGAATTCTACAATTATTAAGAAAACCAATCACCCAGAAGCAACTGTAAATATTTGAGAAGCATGATCAAATGAGTAAATCATTACAAGTTATGCTGTGGCAGTTATTTACTGTCAGTTCGGTAAAGATCAACTTAATTTATAGAATCATGTCTTTGTTTTTAATTATGCAAATTAGGATTGAATACTTATTTAAGCAATTAAATGATATAAATTAACTTAAAGAAGTAAAGCATTCCTGGATCTATGAATTTATTTATTTATTTATTTTGGTTTTGTTTGTTTGTTTATCTGTCTTTGGCCCCGTTCCAAAGCCTCTTAGTTAACTTTGGGCTCTCATTAAACCCTAACTCTAATTTAAGAACAATTAGTTCTTACATCATGGTCTAGCTCAAAAAGGAAACACAGAAGACATGGGTGCCATAGGAAAATGTGGAAAGGAAATTTGATTGTGCCCAGCTATCAGATAAAATAGCATCAGAGGCCTTAAAGGCTTGTCTCCGGACAAGCAGCCATCTAAGTGAGATGTCAACTAAGTCCCCATGGAAGAAGCACACCTTCATCAGTCACCAAAGGATTGAAATCCATATAATCCTAAGTCAAAGGAAGGATTAGTATCAGAACCTAAATTGTGAGAATCTGGTTTCTGGAAGGCTATGGATGTTAGTCGGAGCCCAAGATACGTTTCTGGGAACTACATAGGAAGTAAGCCTCCAGTGATCTCCCTCTATCCATAATTGAGATGGGAGGAAAGTGGCTACTAAACAGAGTACATTGGAGAGCTGAGTATTGAAGATCAAACTAGGATAAACCTGACTTAACAGTTAGAACTCGGTCAGTTAATTACCCCTCTGACGCACACTGGACGTGCTCTGGTTTCCAACATTTTCTGTATTTTAGTTTCATTTTTTGTTTATTCATCTTAGGGTATATCTCAGAAATGTCATGTCATCAAGGATCACCATCTTGAAGTTGTATTATATGTTTTTGTGATTTTCTGGTATATGAAACCCAGAATTGATTAACCTATAAGGACAGGCAGTAGAATAAAGGGTTAGGTTTTTTTTTGGGGGGGGGGTGTTGTTTTGGGGGGGGTAGGAGAGTAACAATGATCGTGGTGGTGGTAGGTGGGGAGGGTAAAAGGGAGATGATTTCAAAGAGTCCAGGAAGGAAAAGAATGTTTTGAACTGATTGTGGTAGCAATTGTACAATATGGCTTGACATGATTGAACTATGGAATAATATATGTATTAACTCCCAATTAACAATAAATCCTAAAAGTGTAAAGCAGATTAATATTTAAATACCTGGTGGCTATGCAGCAGTTCCAATGTTACTTAATTAAATAAGTATTCTGAATGATAAAGAAGACTATGGTTAAAGTTCAAATGTTGCTTATAGACTATGACAAAAGTCAACTCCAGTGTCCACCAAGGGGTATATGAGAAAATCAAGTTCTCAGTATGTTCAGAGGTATTGTTTTAACAGAAACATGATACCCTTATTGAAGAAATTCCACATATTACCTCTTGATAGCAAATGATATCTCTTTACTTTCTCCAAATTCCTGGCGATAGGCTCCACTCACCATCCGATCACTAGCTTTATGCTCGCCAAATACCTTTTTCATGGCATCCGTGATTTCTCCAACGGTACATCTGAAGTAGTAAATGGAGGGAGGCTGTTACAATCACTATTTTGAGATTTAAATTATTTTTGATCAATTTTTTATAATTTCAGACATAGTGACTTTTACATGAATAATGTATTTTTCAAATAATGCTACCACCTCACACTCAATGTACACTACATATGTGGATTCAAACTATGAAAAAATAAAAAGAATACAGTATTTTATTACCTGAGTAAACAGTAAGACAGTTATGATGAAGTCCAAAACCAAGTGCAGGAGGGCACGATGTGAACAAGAAGTGAGAGGGAGGGCAGGGATAACAAGAGTGGTTTTTCAATAGGATGCCTGGCTCTCATTAAGAGGGAGCAGAAATGAGTGGAAGTGTGCACAGGGAGATGGATGGCTCATCTGGCTGCTTCATTAATAATTTTAAAACCATACAATAACACCAACTTTTCCCTCTCAATCCTAAAATACCTGTCCCTCCTCCACATCAGGGGGTCCTCAAACTTTTTAAACAGGAGACCAATTCACTGTCCCTCAGACCCATTGGAGGGCCGGACTATAGTTTTTAAAAAAAATATATGAACAAATTCCTATGCACACTGCACATAACTTATTTTGAAGTAAAAAAAACAAAAAAACAAATGGGGCAAAAACACCCAGCGGGCCGGATAAATGTCCTCGGTGGGCCACATGTGGCCCGTGGGCCATAGTTTGAGGACACCTGCTCCACAAGATATTTCAGTTGAGGACTTGTCAAGGAGTTAAGAATAAGACCAAATGTCAAAAAAAAAAAAAAAAAGACCAAATGTCTACTTTCAAATTTAAATTACAAAAATCGTTGAAATTATATACATAAATATATGTAAAGTGACTTCCAAGAAGATGGCGACTGAATAACACATACCAGAAGGACTCCGCAGATAACAGTGCAGGAGAGTTATTAAGAGGGAAATTCCACACTGTGGGGTCACAGGAGGAACATCATAAAGATAAGTAGGCACAGATACACTAGGTTTTGTGGAGCTAGGGGTTTTGGTTTACTACAGTGGAGGTTGGCTAGGGTTTGACCTTATGCCTGCCACTGTCTCTGACAAAGCCGAGATCATATGGAGCTAGCACAGGAGCTTTATCTCAACACAGCCACAGCTTGCCACCACCTCAGGGCAGGGATTAAACACCTCCAGACCCACAGTCAGGGCTCAGGGCTCAGGTATATTGTTACTTTTGTTTCCCTCTCTTTTCTCTATCCCCCCAAAGTCTCAGTGGGTTAATTTTTTTATTTTCCTTTTCTTTTATTGTCTTTTTATTTTCCATTTTCTCTCACATTCAACTGCCAACTTCCAGACCACTCTCTTTAGCCTAGGACATTTACACCTGCCCCACACACAGCTGGGAAAGCTCAGACTGCTAGATATATATCGGATAAGACCACAGAAGAGGAGAACAAAAATGCGGCACCCTTCACAATAGCCAACCACAAATTGAAATATCTAGGGATATACCTGACTAAAACAACAAAAGATGTATATGAGGAAAACTATAGAACACTATTACAAACAAACAAGAGTGACCGCAAGAAATGGAAGAATATCTCGTGGATTGGAAGACTCAATATAGTAAAGATGTCAGTTCTGCCCAAGGCAGTATATAAGTTTAATGCAATCTTGATACAATTACTCATCTTTCTTCAAAGAAATAGAAAAACTGATTACCAAATTCATATGGAAAGGGAAGAAGCTCAGAATTAGCAGAGAATTCCTCAAGAAGGACACAGTGGGAGGCTTTGCTTTACCTGACTGTAGCATATATTATACAGCCACAGTTCTCAAAACCGCACGGTATTCATATAATGACAGATACTCAGACCAATGGAAAAGAACTGAAAACCCGGAAATAAAATCATCAGCATATAGACAACTGATCTTTGATAAGGGCCCAAAAAATGTCAAATGGGAAGGAGATGCCCTCTTCAACAATTGGTGCTGGGAACAATGGATATCTACCTGTAGAAAAAATGAGGCAAAACCCTTATCTCACTCCATGCACAAGAATAAACTCAAGGTGGAGCACAGACCTCGAGGTAAAACCACAAACTATTAGGGCTATCAATGAGGGAACTGGGACCAACCTGAGAACTTTGGAACAGGGAATACATAGGCTATCAGAAATAGGGAAGTACACAAATACAGATGAGTCACAACTTGACAAGTGGGATATACTGAAGATAAAAGACCTGTGTATATCTAAAGAATTCACCAAGAGAGTAATAAAAAAGCCCACAGACTAGGAAAACATCTTTAGCAACGACACATCAGACAAAGGCCTTGTTACTAAAATCTACAATACTCTGCTAGCAGCCTAAAGGAAAATAACTAATTACCCACTGAGGAGGTGGACAAAGGACCTGAGCAGAAATTTCACAAAAGCAGAAATCCAAATGGCCAATAAACATATGAGAAAATGTTCCCGATCATTAACCATAAGAGAAATGCAAATTAAAACAACAATGAGAAACTATCTAATACCCTCAAAGATAGCCCAAATCAAAAAATCAGAAAGCAACAAGTGTTGGAGGGGCTGTGGTGAGATACAAACTGTCATCCACTGCTGGTGGACCTGTAGGTATGTACAGCCACTATGGAAATCAATTTGGCGATATATAAAACAGATGGAAATTGAGCTACCATACAACCCAGCAATCTCCCTACTGGGTATATCCCCAGAAGAGGCAAGAAATAAACCATGGCCAGACATCTGTGCTCCAATGTTCATCGCAGCATGGTTCACAATTGCAAGGAGTTGGAAACAACCCAAATTCCCATCAACAGACAAATGGATTAAAAAACTGTGGTGTAAACATACAATGGAGTACTATGCATCACTGAAAGCAGTGATGATCACATGAAGCATTTTGCCGCATGGAAAGAACGGGAGAAAATTATGCTAAGCAAAGTAAGCCAAGCACAAAAGGAGAAGTACAACATGAGTCAGCTGAGGTAAGCTTAAAACGAAATGCAAAAGGGGCATAGGGAAAAAGCTACTGTATACAAACATTCTTGTGTTGAGATCCAGGTAGTATGGCAGGGGCCAGACCAAATCCAGGGATACATATGGTAGCCAACTAAAAAGGAGGGGAAAAAATTTTTTAAAAAGAAATGGGTAGTGGGGGCACAAGGCACTAACCCACCCAAAGGGAGGAGATTGTTTATATCTCCACAGGGAAAGAGGGACCAGACTTCAACCTGGTGCTCCAAGATGTGAATGCAACTTACTGGCATGAAGCAGGAAACCAGTAGAGGTCTGAGTTGCTGGCCCCAATCCCAAGTAAATGGACAGCCGCCCCTCCCCCCAGAAGAATTTACTTCAGAGGAGAGCACTGAAGCTACAGTTCAGGGAGAGGGACATGTCTGATGAGAGCACACAAGAGCAAATGAATGGGGAGGAAGAGAGAGTGGAACACATCCTGGCCCACCAAGCCTTGAGGATGATATCCTGCTCAGAGCAGCCAATCCACAAAGAAGACCATATGGCCACTGAACTATGAGACAAGACATCCCTCACTGCCTGATCTGACCCCACCACACCGAGGCAAAACACTGAGGGCGTGCAATACAACAGAAAAGGGAGCAGAGCAAGGAAGTCCCGAGGGAGTACCAAAAATAGACTTTGGGGCCAGGGCTTGGCACCCCATCAGACTCGACCGGAAAAACACTCCTAAAGGTCAACAAACAGTCCTTGAACTATTACAGACTTTTCTCTTTTTCTATCATCTGTTCTTGCTGTTATTTTGTTTTTTGTATTGTTTTGTTTTTGTGAATATTATTATCTCTACAGGTCTATCTAGATAAGATAGGCTGGATAAACAATCTGGAGGAGAAAATAACAGGACCAGCGGTTCCTGGGGGACATGGGAGAGGTGGGGGAAAGGAAGTGATGTTAACAACCCAGGGACAATAGAACAAGTGATCCAAAATTGTTGACGAGGAAGGTGTAAAAGGCCTGGTAGGACTTGATCAAGGGCAATGTAATACAGAGGAATTACTGAAACTCAAATGAAGGATGCGTATGATAGTGGGAGAAGAGGAGAGTAAAAAGAAATAGAGGAAAGAACTAGGAAGCAAACGGTATTTATAGAGGTCTAAATACAGGCATGTATATATGTAAATATATTTATATATGATGATGGGGAAGTATTTATATATTTTTTATAAATATATTTATATATTTTTTTATATGCGTATATTTATAGGTTTAGTATTAAGGTAGCAGATAGACATTGGGACTCCAATCAAGTACTCACTCAATGAAAGAACACTTTGTTCTATTAAACTGGCATTCCATGATGTTCACCTTCCCAACATGATCGCTGAAGACAACGTGGGTGCATAAGCAAATGTGGTGAAGAAAGCTGATGGTGCCCGCTAACAAAAGATATAGCATCTGGGGTCTTAAAGGGTTGAAGATAAACAGGTGGCCATCTAGCTGAGAAGCAACAAAGCCCACATGTAAGAAGTACACCAACATGTGTGATCACAAGGTGTCGAAGGGACCAGGTATCAGGAATCAAAGAACAAAACATCTTATCATTATGAATGAGGGGAGTGCGTATTGGAGACCCAAAGCCCATCTGTAGACAACTGGACATCCCCTTACAGAAGGGTCCAGGGGAGGAGACGAGCCAGTCAGGTGTGGTATAGCACTGATGAAACATACAACTTTCCTTTAGTTCTTTAATGCTTCCTCCTCCTACTAACATGATCTCAATTCTACCTTACAAATCCAGCTAGACCAGAGGGATGTACACTGGTGCAGATAGGAACTGGAAACACAGGGAATCCAGGACAGATGAACCCCTCAGGAGCAGTGTTAAGAGTGGCGATACCAGGAAGGTGGAGTGATGGTGGAAAGGGGGAAACGATTATAAGGATTGTAAGGTTCTACATATGACCTCCTCCCTGGGGGATGGACAACAGAAAAGTGAGTGAAGGGAGACGTTGGACAGTGTAAGACATGACAAAATAATAATAATTTATAAATTATCAAGGATTCATGGGGGGTGGGGAAGGAGGGGAAAATGAGGAACTGATACCAAGGGTCAAATAAAATGAAATGTTTTGAGAATGATGATAGCAACAAATGTACAAATGTGCTTGACACAATGGATGTATGAAGGAATTGTGATAAAAGTTGTATGAACCCACATTTAAAATGATTTTTTTAATTATATATATAAATAATTACAATAGTTTCAAATGTCCTGAGCAATAGCAAAATACACAAATATTATGTCTTTATTCAAAATATATGATATTTAAAACACACAGGTATTTAAAAGAACAAGAATTAAATTTATTTTTTGTTTCCATTGTTTTCTTTTGACGTCACATGATACATAGGATCAACTTTTTAAGGTATCCTCTGAAAAGCTAAAGTGGTCAACTTTTAGAATATGGATGGTGCCAGGCTATCAGGTAAAATAGTGTCTGGTATAGACCATATGTATAGACCCTCACCTTGCCCGGGCTGCATCCACTGCAAGAGCCAGAATGTTTCCATCTCCACTGGCAGCACATTGAGTTAGTGCAGCAAGACACCGCTCAGCCAAAGCTTGATCTCTGCTGGATTTGACCTATGCAAAAGGTCAAAGAAAAGGATAATTTTGGTGAACTGGTATGATAGGTTTATTGTGCCAACTAGGCTTCCATAGGAACATGTGGACAGAGTTCAGTCGGGTCACAGCTTGACTGTAGTGCTCTCCAAGGCTGGCCCCTTCCCTCTTTTGCCCTGGTGATCGGACCAGCATTCTGCTGCCTGTGCTAATCCTTTCCCTCAACTGTGTACTGCTGCACTACTGTGGGCCAAGCCAACCTGTGGATCGCGTTGCCTTGCTGTGTGTGCATCCCGAGAGCTTGAGGTTCCATTGAAACCTGCTTTGCCAAACTTCTTGAGGATTCACATAATGGTGATAACAAGAATGTAGACTCACATACTTTTAGAAAGCAAGAATTTTTAGGGAACAAGAATTTGAGGAAATTCTAAATTTTAGGAAATAAGAATTTCTGCAAATTGTATTAATACTACTGTCACATTTATATACTTTAATGCAATGCTCAACATATATTTTAGCAATTATGCTATGCTCCTCCACTACTGGCCTCTGCTATATCTCAAATTCTCAGCCTCCTGCTGTTGCTGCCCTTGCCTCAAGGCAGACTCTGCTGTCTGCTTCCTTGACCTTGGACCAGCAGCCCATGTGAGCCCTTGGACCTTCAGTATACTAACTGTTCTAAGAAAGTGAGTTGAAATGAGCCCTCTGTATTGCTGTGTGGACTGATTAGCTGTTATATTTCTTCTCACTATATAAACCTAGCCTTGGAAACAGTACACAGAGTTCAATGAGTCTTAATCCTCCCCCAACTTTTTATAGGTACACAATTAAAATTTTGTTTTTATTATGAACTATGTAAGGATTTATAGAACAGATTATCATTTGGGGCCCATATCTTCATGCTAAGAAATAGAATTGTTCATTAATAGAGGCCTCAACCATTCAAATTCAGACAATAGTTATCATTTATAAATGTTTTCCAATTAAATCAACATATATGATAAATATTAAGACCTTATTAATCCCTGCATCCTTTTAGTGGGGAAGATATAGTAATAGGCAAAACAAAGCCCTGCCCTTGTTGTGCCTATATTTCATTAGTTCACAAGAGAGGAAAAATCAAAAACATTAACAATTAGGTATGTAATTTAACAAACATTAAAGCACAGTAAATTAGGGAGTAACTGAGATCACAGGGCAGGGTATTAATAAAGATCGGGATCACTGCCAGCTTCTTATATAATGTGACATTTGAGCAGAGGCCTGAAAAGTACACCTTTACGCATTTACTGAAAAGCTAGCCATTCTTAGATAAGTTGATTGATTATAATTATTTGAAGAACTATTGTTGTTAGTGGCTGTCAGGTTGGCACTGAGTCATGAAAATCCAGTGCATAATAGGATCAAATGGCTGTGATCTGTGAGGTTTTTCTTGGCTAATTTTCTGGAAGTGGACTGCCACCCCTTTCTTCCTAGGCGTCCTTCGTCTGGAAACACCACTGAAATTGTTCAGCGTCATCGCCACACCCAAGTCTGATGCGGTTGGTGGGAGCGCAGGAGGTGCAACGGATGTGCATAGGGGCTGCTCTCCCCACGAGATGAAAGAATTCTGCCTACTGCTGAACTACGACTGTCCCCGCCTGAACAATCAAAGACCAAAAATTCATGGCAGAATTTACTGGGGTTGCAGATTAAAGGGGGGAAAATATCTGAAACTACTGATGAGACAAATTGGGGGGTTGGGGGGGGGATTATATGTACAGGAAAAATTATTTTAATATAACTTATGGTACATAAAACCCCTCCAACTTATGAAAGTATAAATTTAGTATGGACCTAAGCCCTGTGGTACAGTGGTTACACATTGGGCTGCTAACTGCAAGGACAGCCTTCTCAAACTACCAGTGGCACAAAGGTAGGCTTTTCTAATCCCATAGTTACAGTCTCGGAAACCCATAGGGACAGTTCTACGCCATCGATTGGGGTGCTCGCTATAAGTCGTCATCCACTTGATGGCAGTGAGCTGGGGTTCTTCGAGTCATTTGAAGTGATAAAAGCAAAGAAAAAAACGGATTGTGGTGATGATTGTGCAACTCGTTGTGATGTGAATGAGCTATTGAATTGCATAATATGTGAATTATATCCCAATAAAACGGTTTTTTTAAAAAGCGAAGGAGGGCTTTTACAAGTTTAATAAGTTAGCAATAAACTGATTACTGAAATGAACATGCCACAGCCTACACGTTGTTGTCACTGTCAGGTGCTGTCAGCCCCTGTGCCCTGTGTATGCATCCTAGAACCGCTCCGCAGGGGTTTCAAGACTGCGGTCATTCAGAAGCAGAGCATTGTTTTCTGAGGTGCCCGCTCCGCAGGGGTTTCAGGACTGCGGTCATTCAGAAGCAGAGCATTGTTTTCTGAGATGCCCGCCTCATGTGGGCTTGAGGCACCAACATGTTGGCTAGTAGCCAATGCTTAACCAGTTGCACCACCCAGTGACCTTAACGCTATATGATCTAAAACTCTCAACCTCAATGCCATCAGGTCAAGTCCAACTGACACCGACTCAACAGAGCTGAGCAGAACTCCCTCTGTGGATTGCCAAGGCTCCACATCTTGATGGAAGCAGAGAGCCTCCCTTTTCGCCTGCAGAATGGCTGATGGTTTCAAATTGCTGCTCGTACAGTTAGCAACCCAACGCATAGCCCACTATGCTAAAAACACACGCACACAAGGCAATGCAAGAATCATTACCTCCTGATCAGAGTGCAAATAGGAGGAAATGAAGTCAGTAATAACATCTGGTTATTAACTCTATCAGAATTTTTTTTAGATGATCGCTATACATTAAAACTAACAAAATGAGGTCCATTCGTTTTTTAAATAACATCTGGACTGCTATAAAAAAAGTTTACATCTTGAACAATCACAGGGAAAGGGAAAAGAGATGAACTATTGCTGGATTTCAAGTTTCCTGTCATGGGTATAGCAGCGTAATTACAAAGCACAGTCTAAGCAACCAACGTAGCTTAATGTAACTGATATGTCATTTACAGTGGTGAGAATTCAATGTTCTATCTATTTTAGATTTTCATGTACTTTGGATCATCTCAGTGAGAAGGTGAAAATAAAAAGAAAGTAGTTTCAATTAAAAAATAAACGTCACTACAAATTAAAACTTAATAAAGCATGAGTATACAAGTCCTTGAGGAGACTTGGCATAGTGAATTTTGTGTTGGACTGCTCACGGAAGGTCAGCAGTTTGAAACCACTCCAAGGAAGAAAGACAGGCTTTCTACTCCTGTGAAAGTTCCAGTCACGGAACCCCGGGGGCAGTTCTGCCCTGTCCTACAGGGTCACCGAGTCAGAGTGGACTGGAGAGCAGTGAGCTTGGCTTACAGGAGCCCTTGAGTGATAAACTGCAAGGAGAAACCACGGGTTCAAAAACTGACTCTGAATTTATTTTGCTTTCAACTTCAATTTACATAATGGTCCAAGCATTGTTCTTAATCAATAAATAATGAAAGGTATCATTACTGGGATGTACCATTTATAAGAACACATATGCTTTACAGAAGCAGGTATCATGTTCGAAGACATGAGCTTTTGGTGCCAATAAACTCAGACTTTAGTTCAGGCTGTCCAGTTATTTATATTGGAGAAGTTTCTCAATCAGTCTTATATTTAGTTTTCTTATCTTTAAAACGATGGGAAATAAAATCCGCCTTGTGTGGTTGCTTGTATATATGAAATAGGAGAATGCAAGGTCTCAGCCAGTACCCAGAATACAGAAAGCACAGAAACACGGGTAATGCCATTACCTTCTTTAGTTTTTCAATCTGCGTGTTACGCACTGAAGTATTATCAATCGCCAAAACTTCCACAGATTCTTCTTTTGCCAACTGGTACTTATTAACTCCAACAATTACTTCAGAACCTGTACATTTCCCAAAAGAAACAATATGAAGAGTCTATTCATACATAATTGCCTATGGATAATGCTCTGATTATCATGTATTTTCCCTAAAATTTAATATTTATAAGCATATTCTAAACTCTAATAATGGAAGTTCAACAAAGATCAGCAAGTCCCAAAGTGAGACAGAGATTTAAAGGGAAAGGTACATCTATTAGAATGTCTTTAAGAGAGGACTTCTATCACATTCTAAAACTATACTTTCCCAAAGTTTCTGACCAATTTTTACAGCGCTAAACAAAACAGCACAAGGGGGTTTCAAAAAGATTGTGGAGAAGGTCCATCAACTTTTAATTCCACTTTCCCATGACCTTTTGGAAGCCCCTCGTGACAGCAGCAGTTAACCTCTAGGCCTTATAAGTTAGAAAATTAACAACCAAAAGCATCTCTAACTTATTTTCTTGAATTTTTTAAGAGACAATCTTTTTAAACTACAGAAAAACTTTAAAAGGCTATTGTTATAAGCCAAAAGTATAAAGATCTGTCTTAACATGATACTAGCTCCCTTCCTGCTTATTATTCTATCTAAAATAAAAATGCCCCCACCCCCAATTTCCCTCATCTAACTGTAATCCCATTATTTTATAGATCTGCTTTTGTATTTTCTATCTCCCTCACTAAAAGTTAAGTTCTATGGATGCAGATCATGTTTGTCTGACCCACAATTGTGTGCTCAGGCCTAGCACTGCGCCCCAAGCAGAGTAGGCGAACAACAACTGATGAGCACACGGATGAGAAACAGCTCCAAGGAAGAGTACAATGGCCATCATCACCCACCGTCATCTTCAAAACGTGGGTGATCCTGACACACAAGCATATGTTCATGAGTACCCACGCACACAAGCTTTGTGTATATGCTTACCCAGTGCATATAGTGCATGCATGCAGACAAGAATACAGACACATGTATTTATGTAACACTGAGAATGGCTTTCCCCATGCCTCATGTTCTGTCATCTTTGTTGTATTAACTACACATGCTATCTACAAACAGAAGGTGGCATATGTGCACAAACACTGGTTTTCATACATACACGCTCCCACTCGAGCTTACCAGAATCGATTCTAGCTTGCCTTCGTGCAGCACATTCTTCAATTTTTAGTTTTGGTATCCCCTCAGCTACAGCTTTGGCCATTCCACCCATTTCTTCAATTTCATTAATGAGCTAATCACAAAAATTGATTAGGAAAACTCGAAGAGAATATGAGGAAAATTTTAGAAAATGATAAAAATGTTTGAGTATCACATAACTAAATATTAAAGTGTATTCTAGTTTAGTAGTAAAAATAATGTTTCATAAGAAAATTATCTCAAGGGCATAAATTAGAAATTGTGTGTTTTAAGTTGTTTGAAAAGACAACAGAAAAAACCATTAAAGACATTCCAGAAAGCACAAAGCCTTTCACGTACATTTTTTTGGAAAACTTAAATTAACATTAATTTTCTAATCATTATGCTTAACTACATAAAGTTTTATCATTAAACAAATAAAGACTCCTTATGAAAATATGTCAAAATGCAATGTTACTTTTTATTTAAGCAGTGGAGTAGTGACATAACTCTATCTTTAATGAACCAGGAAATATCTAAATCTTCACTCAGTCTCCTGTATAAAAGAATGAAAGTGGACTGTACAATGGTCCGTGAAAGGAACAGAGAAGACGGCAGAAGAAAGAACCACACTGAAACGCGAGTGCGGACAGGGACGGTGAGGATGGGAGGTGCTGAGCAAACGAAGGATGGCTTTCCTGCGTAATGCTAAAAAGAAGAATCGGTCAGAGTGAACTGAAGTCAAGGGCACAATGAAAAACGAAGAGGAGGAGAACGTGCTGAGCTTTCGTCTGCCTCTGCCCCACACTGGTGGGAGAATCAAAGTCTGCTGTCTGCGGAAAAGGAACTGAAGAGGCAACGGGCGCCCACGTCGTGCCAGAGAAGGCAAGAGTGGGCAGCCGCACTCTTCCTGAAGTAAGGGACTGCATTCTGAATGATAAGATTGAACGAAAAAGCACACAGAGGGCACAGAGACTCTGTGGGATACAGAAGAAAACAGTACAAATCATGAACGATCTCCTCAGAAAAATAAGTATTGATTCCGCATAAACAAAATAAAATATGTGCCAGAGAAGGCAAAGGAAATGGTTAAAACACAAGATTGAGATTTCAGAAATTATAAGCATATTAATTTTCAAGATTTTAGATAGAAAGATAAAGCTGAGAAATCTCTAACAAGACAAAACAGAAAGTCAAAGAGCATCCTAGAAAAGATCATGGGAAAAGAATTCAAGATGGTCTAACACATGTGAACTAGGAGTCCTAGAAAAAGAAATGATAAAAACATGGCAGGGAAAAAGTATAGAGTTATAAAGGGAGTAATAGAAGAAACATGTCTATAGCTATGGGAAAATGGATCTGTAAATGAAGAAGGTCCAACTCCGGTCCAACCCAATCCAATGCAAGTAAAGCAAGCACCAAGGTACATCAGCACAGCAAAGAGAGGGGCCACGAAGCTTTCAGAGAGAAAGATCCTGAGACAGAGCATCACATTTCTAAACCGCAACACTGGAAGCTAGGATGAAATGGATGAATGACCATATACTTCCAGGTAGAAATCATTTTAAACCTGGCTAGAAGATTAATCAAGTATGAAAAATTACATATCATTTGTCTCCCATACATCATTTTAGATGATTCCAATAAATCAGCAAAGAAATTCAGTGTGAGGGAAGTGAAAAAAATTTCAGCATGAAAGCAAACGGAAGTCAAATGTCAACAATACTGTGAAGGTCTCTAGTCTTAGTTAAATGGGATTATAAAAGGATCGCAAGAAATATTAATAATATATAATTATATCAAGAGTACAAAAAACCCCAAACCTAAACCTACAGCCATCGAGTCGATTCCAACTCATGCTGTTGTCATTAGCGTCCAACTCACAGGGGCCTCCGTAAAACAGAACGCAACCCAGGTCGTGTGCCACCCTCACCACTGTTCTGCTGTTTGTGCTCAACTCCTAGGGGCCTAGAGAGGTTTCTACGACTGCAAATCTTTACAGGAACAGCCTCAACTTTCTTCCACATTGTTAGACATGGAAGAGGGAAATACGTGTGAAACACTGTACTGGAGAAGTGCTAATGTCTAAAAATTGATGAAGTTAAAATAGTGTGATATTAAAACACAGATATAAAACAAGCATATAGAGAGAAAACAAACCCCCAAAAGATGTATTACTCATCTGTGGCTGACACTGGAAAAAATAATAAATGCAAGTGGAGGACAACTTTTATTTTTTTTCCCTATACGCCTTTCAACAGTACTTGTTATTTTAATTTTTTAAAAAATAATAGTTTAATGCAAATAAAACTGTATTCTTCTATTAAATTCTTAAATTCATTGTAGAATACTACAAAATCAAATCTTGAAATCCATTTTCCTCCCAAATATTTTACATTTCTGCAAACTCTCAGAGCAAAATTTCAAGCAAGAGAAACGGACCTTCAAGGCAGCATCATACACATCATTGGTGAGAGATTCCATCATATATGAACCTCCCCAGGGATCAGCGACTTTGGGAATCCCAGATTCTTCTTGGATGATGATTTGGGTGTTCCGGGCGATGCGGGCACTTTTCACAGTTGGCAAACCCAAGGCTTCATCAAAAGAATTTGTGTGCAAAGACTGAGTCCCTCCAAACACGGCTGCCATTGCTTCGATTGCAGTACGAATGATGTTATTGTAAGGATCCTAAAACATTCAGTACATCACCAAATCAAAAGAGGAAACAGTTTAAGTTATTTAAGTTTAAAAAACATTAGATTAAGCAGTGATCACTGCATATTTTCTGAGTCAATGTCCACAGGAGGCTTTTCAGAGAAAACAGGCAACCTAGTAGACAAGCCCTATTCAGAAGAGACAAAGTATGTAGTCTATGCCTTAGCATTAAAACATTGTTTCTCATCGTTCAGTGATACCTGAAGTATTGGTTCTCCTTACTTTTCTAGTCCCTAAATATTATTCTAAAAGAATGTTCTAAGTGTACACTTTGTCTATTTAAATTATAAAATCCCTCAACCCAAAATGTATTACCTCCTAATTATTTTATACACTTTGAAATACCTAGCATAAAGATGTACACAAAACAGGCATTCAGTAAATGATTAATGAAACTGACTAACAATGATATTTAAGATAGAAAATCTGAGTTCCAGTTTATTCTCAATTATGACTCAGGAAAATCACTTGATTTCTCTGAACTTCTATTTTCTTAGTAGTGACAATAAGGAGATAACATAAAAATAATTATTAAGGTTTCTTCCAACCCTGTAGAATTACATTTTTCCATTAAAAAGACCTGAGGCATTATAGGGTATATTATTTATTATTCAGTTTTAAATGTATAAAAGTAATAAACTTTAAAATAGCAAGCCTTTTAAACATGTCAAAATAAATTAAAGTATAAATGCATTTGGAAATCTTTGCTATAATATTAGTGGAATATAAGTAATTTTAGTAATTTAACAAATTACCCAAGTGGTCAGAGTTTTAGTTAAGTGCATTTATAATATACAGTTCTAGAGCATATATACCTCTGCAGAAGAAAAGGTGGGCTTTTTACTCCCGTAAACAGTTAGTCTCAGAAACCCAAAAGGGGTTCGCTAAGAGTCAGCATTGACTCAGTGGCCATGAATTTTTAATAGTATATTTGTATATATATGTACATAGAAAATTATGTTTTCAAATTTTAAATAGTTTTATGTTAACAATTATAATTTCAAAAATTTGGCATGGTATTAATTAAACAATGATTTGTACTTCTTCCTCATGAACACAATTTTTATGTTTTTAAACATGGAAGCTAAGATTTAAATTATACTTTTAACCACAAGAGGGAGCCTATTTCATTTGTGAACATGAATGGATGTGCATAAAAGAATACATAAACACTTCACAGGCATTCAGCTTATTCCAATACTTCCCTTTTTAAATAAAAAAGAACAACCCCATTGGAATTGATGAAAATTATGCCCTTTGGTCAGGATGACATTCCAGAGGACATTAATTTGTTATAGTTAAATCAATTTGCATAAGAATTATAAATCAAACTCACGTCCATGGAACCAATTCCAACTCACAGCAAAGCCAGAGAGCGGACAGAACTGAAAAGGGTTTGTAAGACTGCGAGTCTTCCTTGAGGCAGAAAACCCCAGCTTTCTGCCTCAGAGCGGCTGATGGGTCCAAACTGCTGGCCTTGTAGTTTACAGCCCAAACAGTTATGTTTTAAGCATTCAATTAATCATATTTATCAGGTCATCGAGAATACCACGTGAACACTAAAAAAGATCTCAGAACTCATTCACATGACATTTGGGAGGGAAACAATTATTCTGAGACCAGATCTTCTCTTTTACATTATTGAGGGCCTTAATTCACACACGATAAACCTGTTAGTCATAAAAAATCACATAGAATTTTTCTACTAGTGAAATGCCTGTAAACTATCCAAATATTACTAATATGAAGGGGTTATAAAAAGTTTCTGGAAAAATGGAATTAACAGATTACGGATTTCCCCCTCAACTTTTTGAAGCGCCCTTGCATCGTCATATTAAAACAGATCCTATTTCATGAAACACTTAAAAATAGTTACTACTCTTAATGAAATTAGTCTACAATTGAAAATAAAGATTATAGAACTTTAATTACATTTATTTACAAAAAAAGAGACAATATTCATTTATCTCTCTTCCTTCCTAATAGACCCTTCCTTCCTAATAGACCCAAGCAAGGCACTCAATTTCCCTATCTCCTTTTTAACTAAGGAGCCCGTGTAGGGCAATAGGAAGGACTCGGAGAAGCTTTTTCTTTTTCTAATATGAAGGAAAGCTGCAGCTGGCACTGCATCTTCCCACTTTGAATATGAATTTGAAGCCTCGGGCTGTGACACTCCTCTTATTCTCACCTGAGACAAGCGGAGCAGTGACATTACCTGTGACGCTGCAATGCCACTGAAGCAGAGCCCGAACCAGCCTCTCTCCAAATGCCTATAAACTTTGAATGAAAACGTAACTATCAGCTGGTATCTATTAAACCTATTTTGTCAGGGTTTCCTTCTCTTAGCGTCAAACACATTCTGACACCATCCAAATACCACCTAAATATAACTTCGTATTTACAGTACCTAGTACAGAAAGAAACTACAGAGACCTGGTGGCGTAGTGGGTTCGGCATTGGACTAACTGTAAGGTCAATAGTTCAAAAGGAGAAAGGTCTTCTCCCTTATTGACTCATGGTCTTAGAAACCCACAAAGACAATTCTGCCCTGTTGGTGTATGTGTCTATTTGGCACAGTAAACGAGTTGCGTGGCCGAATTCTCACCTTCCATACAGGAGACCAGGGTTCAATTCCTGATCAGTGCACCTCAAGCAAAGGCACGATTCCGCTCTCAGTGGAGGCTTGCTGGTTGCTGTGAAGCTGAACAGTTTTCAGCCCAGTTTCCAGAAGGAGATAGACTAGGAAAAGGCCTGGAGGTCCATTTCCAAAAAGTATTCCATGCAAACCCTCGGGATCACCAAGGCCCAGCTCCACGGGCACCAGGTTGCCATGGTTGGGGGCCAACTCCTCGACAGCTAATGGCACAGTGAGTGCTTTCTGACAGTCAGCTACAGGAAAGTGATTGAACTGCGACACTGACTTGATGTAGTATCTTATAAAAATGGTAAATGATAAAAAAATTATGTAGCAAAATAAATAAAGTAACATTGTATGTGGGGCAAAAATTTTCCTCAAAATTCTCTCATGCTGTTTGTAACTATGAAAAACCATATTAACATTTAAAGAAACAATTAGATGTGACCATAAAAAGTAAAGTGATTGATATAACATTTATAGAAAACATTTCCCTTATAAATGCCCAAAGCATTAAAATATGTATAAATACAAAAACATGCATATGCTTCTTGTTTAAGAATGCTTATGCTTTTCAAATATCAATGGATAGGTTCTGAAGCCCATTATTTTGACTGTTGGCTGTACCACGTTGCTGAGAAGAAAATGTTATACTTTACGTTATATACACACCTGCTCCGTAAGTGACCATCCTGATGTCTGACAATGTGCTCTTAGAAGAAGAGATTTTGAGTTTTTAGGCTGAAACATTTTCTCTATTAAGTGAGCCCAGAGTCTTCGCCCAGCTCTCATCTTTGCTATCTCCATATAAAAGTTCATTCCAATTCCCCAGAAGAAAGACAACCTGAAAAAAAAGAAAGAAAGACAACCTGAAATCGTGCAGAGTAAGTCCAGAATTTGATTTCATTGGACAATATAATGTGGGAAATATAACTTAATTATATCACTTTCTGCACAGTCAATGTTCAGATGATAATTTCATGCAACTCCATCAGAATCAAAATCAGTACTTAAGTAACTTCCAACTCACTACATGAAGGTGCAACTATGCATGGAGAAGAAATAGATGTGACAATCTGCTTCCAATGAGAATTATTCATTTTGCAACTGGTTTTCTTTAGGAAAGAAGCTCCTCTTCTGCCCACAATTAAAGAATAATTCAGTTGTTGAAGGAATACCCAATATGTATGGCAGGGTCCACTAAGTGACTCTACTTGGATAGCAAGGAATACTTTTAAAGAAAACCTGGTTAACGATTGATCCAATTTACCCCTGACACTGCTATTCCCTTCCATCTTTCCTCCTGTGGCTGACTTGAATTTACTTACCTGGGAGCAAATTCATCAATGGTCAGGCCGGCCTGCAGACCAGTTCTACAGTACTCCAAGCCGTCTGCAATAGTATAGGCCAGTTCCAGAATCGCATCCGCGCCCGCTTCCTGCATATGGTAGCCACTAATTGAAATTGAATTAAACTTTGGCATGTGCTAAGTAAAAAAGAGAAAGAATACAGCAACTAATGAAAACCTTACAATGTTTGATCAAATCCATTTTCTAAAGTCAAATAGTTCACAATGCTCAACTCAGATACTATGTCTGTTCTGTTTCTCAAACAGAAAATAATTTACAGTAACTAACCTCTCACATGATTCAATTTAAAATCAGCTGGCTGAAGAATGTAACCTTTGGCCTGAGAAACAAATGCCAGCATCTTTATTTCCAAATCATGGCTCTAACCTGGGGAGCATGTATACATTTAAGTGTAATTAACTAGTTATACATTTTCTTACTTGAAAGAAGGCAAGCCACAAGAAAAAGCACAAAGTAGGAAAAAAATGTTTCAAGCCTCAGTAATGTACTGTATATACTGTCTTTCCCCTATTCTCCTAAAATTTCTTATTAGGCAGGGAACATATCATACATATATTGCAGACCCAAATCTCATTCCCTAGATTTAGCCAAACATAAAATAATAAGGGCTAAATGAAAGGAACTCCAGGGAGTGGCTAAGAGCATGTACTGTGGAGTCAGAGCACCTTGACTCAAAGTCTAGCTCATCCCCTAACTAGCTATGTGCCTACAGGCAATTTGGGCAGCCTTGCTAAACCTCGGCCTCCTAACTATCTTTGGTATTAGTGGTACCTTCCCATATGGTAGCTGCTGGGATTAAATGAGACTCATTTAAAGCACTTAGTACAATGCCTGTACATAGCAAGTAGTCAAAAAAAGTCAGTAGTGTGTGGTGTATTTGAAATGCTACTATAGGATTACCTATATTCACTTTAAAGAAACACTCTTGAAAAATGTTCTATGACAAAAGCAATAAGAGGGGACTGAATCATATGGAACTTAGAAAGAAATGGAGTATGTTTAAAATTATCAGTAAGTGTCGAGGAAACAAACAGGTGCTTCTCCACAGAGAATTGATTAGTAGAACTTTAATAATAACACAACATTTAGAGTATATTGCGTATAGAGCATCATTTGATCAAGGTCTGAAATTGGCATTTTAATCCCTTATCAGTGGCCTGGTGGCACACGGGTCAGAGGGCTTGGCTACCAAATGAGAGGTCAGTGGCTTGACTTCACCAGTCTCTCCCAAGGAGAAAAATCTGACAGTCTGCTTCTGTCATGACTGACATACCTTATGGGGCTGTTCTAATCTGTTCCGGAGAGTTTTCATAAGTCAGGACGGATGACAATTCTGGAGTTTCTTGGTTTATTTTTTTGGATTTTGGCTATGAAAAAGCAATTGATAACTTGTAGGTAGTGTGGTCGTTATATAATTGCCCATTTGAAAGAATTAAGAGTGTAGGGGTGGAGTCTTGTCTGTCAATCAGATCGTACCCAATGAGGCTTCTGTGTGGGCATGGGCTTCTCCTGAGAATTTTGGGAAATCTGGTATTTCCTCCTTGGAGGTGAGACTCTCTGATCACACCGTGGGAGATATAGCATCTGACAAGACATGTGGACCCACCCTGATGCAGCCCTGTGTGCAGAAAGCCCTGCAGAGACCTCTGCCAGCGCTGAGATGTTTCCAATGCCACTGGATCCAAAGGCTTTCTACCCACTGGCCTGTGATCGTCTACATTCGGCATCATTGCATGTGTTTCGTGAGTCTGAAGAGGGCTTTATAGATTGGTATCAGATACATGGACTAATATCGGACTTGATCAGGACTGGGCTGGGATGCTTCTCGATATTCAATTGCTCTTGTCAATAAAGCTCTTTCTTACACATGTGTCTATGGATTTGTTTCTCTAGTCTACCCAGGCTGACACAGATGGCATTTGGATTTTTCACAAAATGAAATGCCCACATTTGCAAAGGTGCAAACTGCGACCCTCTACCTCAGCAGCCATGCTCCACTTGCTCCTGTAATGCTTGACCCACAGCCAGAGAGGTGATATACACCGGGACTGCATGTCCACTCTTCTCTGAATACTGTGTGTTCATTGAACTGGAAGAGGCCACTTGTGTGTTTTTTCTAGAAGTTCACACACACCCCACCTACCTCCTTCCTTAATGATGAAATGACACATTAAAAAATCATTGACAGACAAGCTAATAGGAGTCTGATCACAGAGACCGTGGAGATGGCATACAAACAAACTCCTGTCAGCCTCTCTTCTGACATTTTGCATACAACAGACAAATGACTCCAATTTTGCTTAAATGATTGCTATTTGTTGTGGGTTTCTACCACATACAGCCAAGTCCTACTGTAGGTATGTTTCTGAAATACAAAAAGGTGACAGAAGTATGTGCTGCCTGGTAGAGATTATAATTCATCTGGGGAGATGGAGCACATGCATAAAAAACAACAAATTGCAAAGTTCAGAGGCTATCAAGTGAGAAGTGTAAGCAGTTCCTGTAAAAATTCTGATGATGATAATCAAGAGGTTGAAAGATATTTAAAAAAAATTAATGGAAGAGCAATTTGACCTGTATCCTGAAATGATGTTTGAATTTTAAGATGGTAAGGACAATATGCATAAGATTTGCCCAGAGGGAAAGGAGTACGTATGCTTCCCTATGGAAAGACTGGGAGCCCTGGGACCTTAGTAGTTATATGTGTATATTGGGTGACTCACTTCAAGGTCAGCCATAAAAAAGCACTGGTCATTGCTGGAGAGAAAGATGAGGGTTTCTACTTCCATCGAGAGTTACAGTGTCAGAAACCCACAAGGGCAGTTCTCTCTGCCTTTCGGGGCCCTGTGAGTCACAACTGACCCACGGCAGTGTTTGGGTTTGGGATGGAAGGACTGCTGCCACTACAGGAACAATCTTAGCTGGTTTTCCACCCCCTCTGATTGGGGGAAACGAGTCAAATTCAGAGTGAGACTCTATGTGGTTTTCAATTAAAGGACAGCCATCAAGCCGGCTTATAACAGGCATTAGGCTAATATTTGGAACTCCCTCTGACAACAGTGTCTACTTCACAAGTGCATCTGAATTCTGGATGGAAATATGTATAAATCATGAGGCTGTGCCCAGGGAATATCCATGTTAATAAAAGAGAAATAAGTTAATGTCTATAGCCCAGATGCCTACAAAATTAGGACATAAAAACAAAAATCTACAAAGAAAATCACCTTTTCTGTCCTATAACCATTACTCAGGTTTCATTACCAACATCAAATTATGACATTCTGTAAAACTGACTACATTCCAAGAACTACAGTAGAACCTCGAAGAAGCACAAAGGGTACCTTGGCTGTGTACTGGAAGATGTCAGCAATGATTTTCATAGATGGTTCTGGAGGGAAAATGTACGTGTTCCTGACCATGAACTCCTTAAGGATATCATTTTGGATTGTCCCAGTGAGATTCTCTTTAGGTACGCCCTGCTCTTCTCCCGTTACTATAAAAGTTGCAAGAATTGGGATAACTGCTCCATTCATAGTCATGGAAACGGACATTTTTTCTAAAGGAATTCCATCAAAAAGAATTTTGGTATCTTCCACGGTGTCAATAGCCACGCCAGCCATTCCAACATCACCTCGAACTCGGGGATTGTCTGAGTCATAGCCGCGGTGGGTTGCCAGATCAAAGGCAACTGATAATCCCTGCTGACCAGCTAAATAAAAAGGAAAAGAATGCCATTAAAAGACTGACATCAAAATAAGCTGATCTACTTTAACTCCGCTCTTTAGTATTAATTAAGCTCACCATAGTACACCTTCATAACAAACATTATTTCCATGCTCAAGCATCTCAAAACAAATTTAAATAAAAATGCCTCACTTTCTAAGACGGACATTTCCATGGATTTAAATGCAACAATCAAGTTTCAGAGTATCCTATAAAGCCAGAGGGGAAAACAACAAAAGAAAAACACTTCATTTATCTCATGTCCATCGAAGAAGACAATCTACCTTACACTTTATGATTACAATGCACCTGTAAAAGTCATAATAGAGCTGGCTGTTTACATATCTCAAAAACCAAACCCACTACCATTAAACACAATCTACCATCTGAATATGCACTTGAGAGTGGGTGTCAAAATGTAATGGGAAATTCCATTATTTTTAAACCCATTTTTCTAGTGAAACCCCTTCTTATGCCACTATTAATGATCAAAAGGAACAGTAATTAATGTAATGTTCAGAGACTTAACTGAATATATTTACACTACAGTATCATTTATTGATTACTTTCTGGAGCATTTAAAACAGTTTCCCCTGGATTTCCTATCCCGGCAACTTTCATGAAAAGCTTTTTAACGAGAAGGAAATTGCTTTTTTTTCCTTCATACAACTTCAACTCACATAATTTCCTTTTGACAATGTGTCTGCACCTGCTGTTTACTTCATAGAATTTACGGTTGTATTTGGGCCTGCCTCTCTTTTTGAACAGAAAAGTTGAACAGCATCCACTTTTTTCAGAGTATTCTCCTAACTACACATCTATAAAAGAAATATCACCTTCACAGAGTGTAACCAACCGTCCCTCAGAAAAAGCCCAGAGTAGAAAGAACGTATTTGATTATAAGTATTATGTGTCTCACATTAAAATCTCACCCTTAATATTATCCTTGTAGAACTTATTGCTTTCTTCCACAGTACTAAAGCCAGCATACTGGCGGATGGTCCAGGGCCTGAAGGTATACATGGTAGGATATGGCCCACGTGTGAATGGCTTCATGCCTGGAAGTTCCTCAGGTGAGTCCTTAGTGTCCCTGCTGGAGTACAAGGGCTTGATGGAGATCCCTTCTGGCGTGTGCCAGATTAGGTCCTCTGCATTTTTGCCTTTCAGTTGCTTTTTAGCCAGGGCGGCCCATTCTGGGTGAAGGGGTTGCTGCTGGTGTAGAAGTCGCTGCCAGATGAGCCTGGGGTCTGTTGATGCTGTTCGTTGTTTTAGATGATGGTGAGAAAGCAAGCAAAATCGGGTCTTGGCCCTCAACATGATGGAGCCTAGAGAACCTCCAACAGGAACAAGGCACAATCTAGACAAAGAAGCACAATGAACAAGCGTTTACAAAGGAGGAAGAATAATGAGAGCTCCTGGTGGAAGAGAAAAGGAGAAGAGGAGGGTCTATTACTCTGGATCTCATCTCTTCCTCGTTTTGTTTCCTGAATGCGATATTTTATAACTTTGGCCCCTTCTATCTGTAGCTGCAGTCATTGTTCTTTCAGACTTCTTTAACGGTCTCTTAGCTGGTCCTATTTACCATGCTCTCTGCCTTCTCAAATCCATTCTCCACCCTTTTATCAAAGCATGTCTGATTATGCCAACAGTCCCCTCCTTGAAAAATCTCTAAGGCTTTGGAACATGTAGAGCAGTGGTTCTCAACCTTCCTAGTGCTGTGACTCTTTAATACAGTTCCTCCTATGGTGGTGACCCCCAACCTTAGAATTATTTTCATACAGCTATTTCATAACTGTAATTGTGCTAATGTTTGAATCGTCATGTAAATAACTGATATGCAGTATGTATTTTCATTGATACAAATTGAACATAATTAAAGCATAGTGATTAATCACAAAAACAATATATAATTCTATATTGTGAAATATTTATTTCTAATGACAAATCAATGAAATTTTGTCTTGAAGCATGGTGTAGCATGGGTAGCAGTCTTCACGCTGGGTACTTGTAGGTGGGAGTCTGCATGGGGCAGGCCCACCTGGAGACGGATAGAGGAGAAGTGTCTCGGTTCCTAAGACCATCGGAAATAAGTATTTTAGGCGACCCCTGTGAAAGGGTCATTCGACCCTCAGGTTGAGAACCACTGATGTATATAGCATAGCCTCCTATTTTATTATTATTGAGAAGCTTTTTATCGAGTACCTGATGTATGGCAGGCACTAATCCGGCTGGAGACAAAGTGGTGGGCATTCAGGCCCCCACACACTAGCCCCTGCTTACCACTAACAGTTAGCTCCGCATCTCTCCACTACATAGAGAGCAAATGAATTTGTTCTGTGAATTTGCTCTGGCCATTCTGTCCGCTTAAAATGTTCTTACGCTAATTCTACTCAGGCTCCTTCTCCAAAATGCAGGGCTGAGTGCCAGGTACTGCTCTAAGGGTTCACAATTTCAATTATCACCATACCTCCAAGAGACCTAGGCTACTGATTCCAACATCCTCACATACAACTAATATGCTTATCGCCGCTCCTGAACCAACCTGGGATACAAGCCCTCTTCAGAACCCGCAGCCTTGTTCCCTGTCTATACCTATCAATCCCTACCCTGTGTTAGGGAGACCTGTTTTTCATATTTCCCTTTTTATTACATTTTTCTATCTCATAAAATAAAATGTTATGTGCTCAATATTGTTTTTATGCAAGATGTTAACTGCTAGGGGGAATAAAATTTTTTTAACTACTTTGAAAACCAAATTGGCATTTTGTATGAAGAGTCTGAGAAATGCTTATGTTCACTAACATCACTCCTGAGAAAACTATTATATTAATATACAAAATAAGTATGTCTTATAGTTTTATTTATATTAGAGGAAAACTTAGAATATAGTAAATACCTGGCATAAGTTTTAGTAAATGAATTTCATCATATGCAAATACTGGAATTTTATATGGCTACTAAAATTTGATTAGAAAACAGGCTAGTTACACCTGTGGCTAACAAGTTGATTCTGACTCAGAGTTACTGTGTTAGTCTGGGTAGACTACAGAAACAAATCCACAGAAACTCATATATGTATGAGAGAGTTTTTATAAAGGGTAAGTGTACATTAAGAATGCATCCCAACCCAGTGCTGTCCAAGCCCATTCATCCAACATTAGCCCATATGTCCGACACCAATCCACAAAGTCCTCCTCAATCTCACAAAACACACACAATGACACCGACTGCAGGAGGAAAGTCGAATCAGTGAGTGGGTAAACATCTCAGCACTGGCAGGGGTCTCCACACAGCTGTTCCAGCACCCAGGTAGGACCATGCGGCTTCTCCTGAGGGATGTCTCACAGGAAGTGAGCATTGCCAGCTGAAGCAGGGAACTGGCTAAGGCAGCTGCACCTGGTCCGACCAGCAGAGAGCAAGAGACCCGAGAACTAGAAAAGCGAAGTTCACTGAGCCATTTATCTCACCAAGCCATTTATCTCTCCGCCCTTCAATTAATCCCACATGTGTTTATCAGCCAGGTTGTTACATTAAACCTTAACTATCTCAGTGACCCTAGAGGGCAAAGTAAGATTTCCAAGACTGCGAATCTTTATGGAAGCAGACTGTCATATCTTTCTCCCTTAGAGTGGCTGGTAGATTTGAACTGCCAGTTTTTTGGACTCCCACACAGAGAGAGGCTGGTATGTTCAGACTTCTGACCTTTTGTTTAGCAACTCAATGCTTAACGTACTGCACCACGAAGACTCCTTAACTAGTAAGGTAGTCATGATATAAAAATTATCAGCGAATAGATTATAGACAAGACTTATCATGTCCCTTTCATATAAAATATACCACTAGGTTGCCTCTGTTTGAAGTTAGAGAAGTGTTGGATTTATGATGGATGATACTGGAAGAAAATACAAGAGGTGGCCTGAATCTAAACACTGACTATACAAATGTATTCAGTTTGTGGACATTGCTGAAACTGTACATTCATAATACATGCATTCACCCAAAGTATATTATTTGTAAATTAAAAAGTTAAACATTATGAATAATAATTTTTCAAAGGAGAAAAGCCCAAAAAGTGTTAAGTGAAAGAATCAAGATACAAAATGGTGAATGGAGTATGTTCAACTTGGTAAAACTAAGCACAGCTAAAACAATTCCCAGTATTCTCTAAAAGTGGTTATGATTTTTATTTTATTTAATCCATAAGGTCCTTGTGATCCATTCCCTTTAAGCAATATATTAATTATACTTACTAGCAAAAGAGGTGAATGGAGGAAAATAAGGAAGTTATAAGTGAATCATCAGCATCTCCAAAAAGCCACTGCCAAGTCAATTTTGACACAAAGTGACACTGTGGAGCAGAGACCTGCCACTGGGGGGTTCAAGGCTGTAAGTCATTTCCAAAGCCAAAAGCCTCATCTTTGTCCCACACAGAGACAGGCTAATATGTTCACACTGCTGACCTTTTGTTCAGCCATCCAATGCTTCACCTGCTGCACCACAGACTCCTTAACCAGTAAGGTAGTCATGATATAAAAGCTGTCAGAGAGTAGATTATAGACAAGACTTATCATATCCCTTTCACATAAAATATCTCTGGGGTTTTCTAACCATGCATAATGATGATTTCCCAAAACAGTAGATATCACTGTTAGATAAGAACACAAGGGCTGCTAACAGCAATATGACTTCTGACTGTTCTCAGGCGGCCAACAAGAGAGACTTCGGGTATTCAAAGAAACAGCATGTAAAGCAAATACATTATTAATGGTTAGAAGGAAATTTATGATTAGAAAATGTTCAAGAATGATATTGAAGTGTATCCCTTCCAACAACACCTTTAAGAGAAATACCTACAATTTGATATCAAATTATTTGTCAGGCTTTGACTGTTTACATGCAGTTCCATAAAAAAACGCTGGAAGAAAGGCCAGTTGAGGCCTCTGGTGTTCAATCCATTTGGGTTAGAACGGCAGCATAAGGCATGCAAATTAAATGTAACATCTGTGTAAGTAAACTGTTAAACGTAAGAAAATATTGGGAGAATACTCAATCAAGTCATTCAAAACTGTAGAGAGAGAGAGAGAGAGAAGCTCCAGAGGTTCAAGCTTCTGGCCTGTCAGCTTCTGGATAAAACTGAGAACAAGTCGGGAATCTGCACCTTTATGTCAATGTAGATCTGTCTGTCCTGATTCACCCCCACCTACATCCAGAAAGTCACCTTCATTCCAGCCACCTCTTTTAAAACTATGGCAAAGCCTGGGTGTGCAATCCTTTAAGGTGCTTGGCTGCTAACCAAGAGGTTGCAGATCCAGTTCACCCACAGGCGTCTCCAAATTAACACTCGTGATCTTCCTCAAGTCAACCACTGAAAACCCTACAGCGCAGTTCTCCTCTGACACACACGGGGTCACCGCGACTTGGCGTCCATTCCAGCGACTGTTTGGCAGCTGGCTTTCAGCCAGTGAAACCTGCGCACTGACTTAGGGCAAGGGACCCTGCCATGAAGAATGCTTTAGGGTGCTTAGATGGCTTAAGCCCCTGAATGGTAATAGTATCCTCTTTCCAGGGGGTCCTAGTCCAGAATGAGAGATCAAAGTGCGAACCTGAACTTGAAAAGGTAGAGGAAACGTCTACCTAAGAGGGTATACGAGAACGTTTGGGGTTGGGGAACAAAAAGAGAATTAACTGGACTAGGAGGAAGAGGGGAGTCAGAGAATGGAGCGATACGAAATGCTAACGTGCCCCCCAAGATGCTCAATCCTATTTACTGGCGGACCCCTCTGCAACCAGTACCAAACCTGCGTAGTGGTTACGGAAGCTGGATTTCCGCGCCCCGGCCCGGGAAATTCACGCTGGGATCCCACTACGCATGCGCGCAGGCCAGGGAGGCGTAGGCCGACACGCCCTCTCGCCAGCCAATCTAATCGTCCTCTGGCGAGCGCGCCGTGAGGACGCCGGAAGGTGAGGCGAGATGCCCCGCCTCCGCCGGCAAGTGTTTCCTCTTAATTCCGTCCACTTCCGGGTCTGCTCATCACTTGATCCTCAGGGCGGGAATTGCTTTGAGCACTGCTGACCTGAGGCTGAAAGAGGAACTGGTGATAAACGGTGAAAACGCTTAATCTCCTGCGTCCAGGTTGGTCCATGGGGTCTGTGGCCACTGCCTTTGCCAAGGGGAAAGAAATCCGAGCAGATATGCCTTCGGGGACGAGAGCGATTTCCCCACTCGTTCCTCAGTCCTCCTCTCCCCGTATCTTATCTGTAGCTGGCAGTTGGCCCATCTGCTGCCTTGGTATTGAGCGCTGAAGTCACGGCGGTCAGCAGTGTGGCCCTTGAGAAGTCCGCACTGGGCAGGTGTGTGGTCCAGGCGTGTGCTCACCGCCGGCGTCCACGGAGGAGTCTAGATTGAGATGCTCGGTCTCCGCAAGGTGGTAGGGAAAGCAACTGTTTGGGATGTCAACCTGTTTCCTCTTGGGGAAAGGGTACGTTCTATGTTCTTTATTAAATAAATCCTGTAGCCCTTATTGCAAGCTGCAGGGGGTCTCAGACTACCTTTCCCCGCCCCTGCATACACAGTAGAAGCTTCTCTCAATTCTTGTTCCTGAGAACACCAGGTTTTCTTAAAAGCTGCTCTGCCCTTTGGCTCCATCCAAGGGAGGGAGATGAGGAAGCCTTCTTCCTTGAAAATGCTCTTACATTTGAAAGCATATTGAGCTGATGACTGTGCAACTGTACTTGATATGAGCAATTGAATTGTATGACAATGCGAATTGCATGCCAATAAAAATTTGTAAAAAATGTTCCCAGCAACCAGTGGAGAGGTCTGGGGGGGCTGATCCCAGCCCCAAATACTAAGTGGATGCCTGCCCCACCCCCGAGAAGAATTTATTTCAAAGGATGGCACTGAATCTGCAGCTTCGGGAGAAGGATATATCTGACCAGAGCACACAGGAGCAGATGACGGGGGAGGGGGAGAGACTGGAGCACATCCTGGCCCACCAGGCCTTGAGGACGATGACCCCAAATAGAGCAGCCAGTCCACAGAGAGGACCACATGGCCAGCCCCACTATGAGAAATGATGCCCCTCACTGACCCATGGCCCTGCGGGGGACAACACCAGTGACACAGTGTGGGAGTTGCACCTGATCTGATCCCGCCACACTGAGGCAAAGCACTGGGGGAGTGCAGCGAAACAGCAGGGGTGGGGAGCAGCAAGATCCCCAGGGAATGATGAGGGTGGACATTGGAGACGGGGCATGGTGCCCCAACAGGCTAGAGTGGAAAACACAAGCTTTTCTTTCTTGGTATATTTTAATTTGTTCTTCGTCAGTGGCTTGATGTTGTTGCTGTTTTGTTGTACATTGTTGCTTGGTTTTGCTCTGTCTTGTTTTTGTGCATGTTGTCTCCGCAGGTCTGTCTGGATAGGACAGGCTGGATGAACAATCAGGAGACAGCTTTGGTTGTTACAGTGGGGCTAGGGATACTGGTTTTTAAGGTGCCAGGACTGAGACACTGCTAGATATCCTACACAAGGATATCCCACCATAACCAAGAATTACCCTGTCCACAGATGCCAGTTGTGCAGAGGCTAAGGGACCAGGCACTGTCAAGTGTCTCAAGTAGGTGTCGAAATGCAGTCCGTAGTAAAGGGCCAGTTTGTTGTTTTGATTTCTCACCATGACAACTAATAATTTTGTAAAATACTAATTCCTAGAAAAATGAAATGAGACAAAAGTTAGGCCATTTTTTCCTAGTTATATTCAACATGCATTAAATTGCTCTGCCAAATGTTTCAATTTTACACTTACAAGGGTTTGTCACCAATAGTTTGTGGACCAAACTTGGAGTGATACTGATTTCAATGTTTTTGAGTAAAGATTAAGGGAAAAAAATTAAGAGAACTAAGTAAATATCAAATGAGCAATAAATGGGAACTTAGGATTCCATAAACTGGAGGGAGAAAAAAAGTGGGGTGATTATGAAGGCGCGAAGGGAGTAGGCAGACAGAGACTGGGAGATCAATACAGGTAGAGTATACATTACATGTATTGAGATTAAAATTAGTTCAAGAACCATGCATAAGATAATTAGAAAGGAAGGTTCAGTTGAATAGTGGGATAGAAGTGTAGAAAGGAGACTGAGGTTAGCTTGTTGAGGAGTATAACTGGCATAGTTAAGAGTTTGGGGGGGGATGCACAGTAGGGATTGAGGATGGAAGGGTATTTGGATAAGCCAGGCATATATGGCAAGTTGAGACGTAAGGCATTTAAAAACTAGAACACAAAAGATAATGAGTATCAATTTATATTTAATATGACATCTTTCAAACCAAGGCAAAATGATATTAGCTTTTTTTTCTTTTTTTAGCTCTTTTTATAACTGACCCGACCTTTAGTCTCCACATGTGATTTGGAATCTCTCAGGTAGTTCCTGCCCATTGTTTCTGGGTTTTTTTGTTTTGTTTTTCAGTGAAAACTCTCAAGCTTAATAGGAATAGATTTTTTCCAATCTTCCTTGTTGGCCTTCTCTAAGTCTATGTATATATTGAAACTATTAACATAATCATCACAATCTAAACCAAATTAATCACTTAGCTGTGTGGTGAGCTAGCTATACACAGCAACGTAGGAAGGAAAGCCAAAAAGTATTGCTACCAGTTTGTGCACTCACGGGTTTCTGCCAAATGTAATGTTGAAACATGGCTCTGCAAGCAGTGGAGGGCCACAGACAAGTTCCTGCTGGAATACACTTATTCTCCTTAGGGACCCTTCAAAAAAGGGTCAAATCAAGTATGGCTTCCGAGGGATCTGCTGAGCTAGTTAAATTCAAGCCAGAGGGCTCAGCTCTGAAGATTATGGCAACTATTTTAGGGAATTCCAAATGGATAATCTTGATAGGTTTTCTTAAAAGGTACAAGATGGGAATGGGCTCATTATGAAAAATTTTAAGGAAGCTGAAAGCTGTATTGGTGAGAAAAAGGTCAGGAAAAGTACGCCAAGGAATGCTTTCCCATCATAACCGTGCACGTCGTTCTTCCAGAAGAGCAAGGACCGTCTTACAAGAAACTTGCCGTCGACCCTGCAGCCCTCACCTTGCCCCATCAGATCTTTTGGTATCCCAAATTCAGAGAACATTGAAAAGGATTGTGATTTGTGGCCCCTGAAGAATTTTTTAAATCTGCCATTCTTGTAGTGTAAATCAAAGAGTGCAGAATGCTTTGTGGAAGAGTTAGAGATGTGGAACACTAACTTCAAAAGTGTGTAGACTTAAGTGGAGGATATTCCAAGAAACAATTACTTCACATTTTGATACTTTTTCTTTCATAAAGGTTACTGTGATATCGCAGCAATGTGCTTTGACTTACCCGTATTTATAGAAATGTTTTAAAAACAGGAAAAATAACCCTACTTCACTGCCCTTTAATCAGTCCCCACTTATAGTGGTCCCGTAGTAGAGAGAAACTGCCCCTTGGGATTTCTTAGGCCATGAATCTTCATGAAGCTGTCTTCATGCGCAGCTACTGAGTGCGTAACCACTGAGTAACCAGAACTCCCGTCAAAAACAGTGCTATCCCCAGATTTTATTTTAACGTGAAGCAATTTAGCCTTTTTAATAAAATGTTATGTAGGGGTTCACCATTTTTTCTGTGTCTTTAATTTTCAAAGTACTGTATAATTGTTCCATTTTCTCCAGGATGTCTGGCAAAGTAAAGTTCTCCAAGGAAAAATCTCAACAGTTAAAAACAAATCCAAAAAGAAAAGGACGAAGAGTTGGAGTCATCAGAGAAACTGATGACGAGGAAATGGAGTTATCCGAGAACGAGGTAATAAAAATGTCAAATGTATCTTTCAGAACTCTGATTTGAAGTTTTCTGTTCTATGTAGAGAGTAGATCACTTGCTAACAAACTAGAAAATACGAGGAGTGAGTGAGTTTGGGGGGACAGTGCATTCATTATTTGTTAATACCCCATTGTAAAAGCTATTTTTGTAATAAAAATTACACTACATACAATTATGTGAGAGATATTTGCAACATGGACACTCTCCAGATGATTATTGTTGCTTACTTCAATTGTTCAAAAGTAAGCATTGACCATCGCATGCTGTAGGAAGGGGTGGCTCAGGCGGCATCGAAGGGGATGAAATGGGAAGAGTGGGAATGAAGTATACCAATTCCTCAGCATACAGATGATATGAGTAGAATCTCACCAGTTTGGATAAGTGATTTTAATTAACTGAAAAAATGGGAGAAATAACTTTTTCCTACTATAATTTTGCCGCTCTCATCAATAGATTAGTCAAAATTTTTTTCTTTGCCTTACCTGGTCCGTAGGTAATGACTATATTTGTTTTGTAGCTAAACTATGTATATTATTTCATGGGCAATGTAATACTTGATTAAAAACAATCTTTGATACGACGTAAAACTTCTGTTACACATTATCACCAGTGTCCAGAATTGCTTTAAAAGATCCGCCGCCTATGATAAATACATACCCTTCTTCTGAAGAAATGACAATATACATTTGTTTTTTTTCCTAACCTGAATATCCTTACATACATGACAGATACATTGGAAATACCTTTATCGGATATTGAATTCTGTGTTCTGTGTGTGTGTCTTGTGTCTGTGTTTCCTTGTAGGTTAAAAGCCCAGTGAAAAACAACCAGCGAAAGCACCTGTCTTCTCAAGGTATTTCTATTCTGTATTAACCTAGAACGTGTTTCAAGCTATCTATGAGTCTTTAAAGCATTCTCAACGTCTTGTTTGAGTTCTGCAAAGCAAAGCATTAAGAAGTCACATTCACCATTTTGTAGGCGTAGATAGTGATGCTTGCTCACTTATTTTGGTCAACAAATGTTACTCAGCACCTATAGCAAAATGCCATGGAGGCTTTGATAGCACTAAATTGATAGGAACTAGAGAAAATGAAAGTACCCTACAGTTTTGATTATTACTGATTTGTGAGATACCTAATGATCTCTTCAAGATAAGTATATTTTCTGTTCTACCACTGTATACATTAGAGCTACCTTGTAACTTTATTTTCAGTTAATTAGTTTGAAGTTACTGTCTTTGCTTAATCACCACTCCTTCATGGAAGTAATCCTTCCACCTCACCCAAGACCAGGTTAAGTCCTCTGGTCCTCTGGTTTTATATACCCATAGTTTACAGTATTTTTTATTTATAATACTTTGCATAACCGTTATTTTAACCTATTTAATTCCTTCTTTCTGAAGCCAATTTTCATGAATTGATAATATATCTCCTACTTACCTCAGTATTACTTATAAGTGGAATAGTACCATTAGCTAAATAAATACTGAAAAATCTACTTGGTTTGATTTATCTGTTTTATTCCAATTACCATCTGAATTTATGGAAATCAGTTTTAAATAATTTCAATAAAGCTTTTAAAGAATTCAAGCCATTTCTGAGAAACAAACTTCTATGTTGATCCCTGATAATTGTATGACTGCAGTGCAAAGGATAGTAAACCACAGTTTATATAGCCTCATAGTATTGTGGTGCTCAAATTTCCCTCACCTTCCTTATACTTGAATTACTTGTTAAGTAAAAACATGCAAATATATGCACTAATCATAGTTTCTTCCATCACCAGTGACAGGAAAAACAAGGGAAACTAATCTGAAACAGATAAAGATAGCACCCAACAAGAGAAGAACCTGGAAACCTCTTTCAAAGATAAACCAAGAACATTTGCAAGTTATGATTGAGTCAGAAATATTGTGAGTATAATTTTTCCTATGGTCACTCTTTGGTTTCTATTTATATACTTTTTATACATATCAATCTAAATGTAATATCCTCTTAAATGATAGAGTATTTTTCTCTATCAGAAGATAAGTTTTATGGCATTAGCCTTCAGCAAAAGAAACTTCACTGATTTTAAAAACGTGGGATTCTGTCAATGAAATAATCAAATTTATAAATAAGATTAAAATTAAGACCTGGTTTTCTGCTGTCTATAACCTTGCTCTGTTAATAGGCGTGCTTTAGGAAGACATTGAGTTCAAAGTGACACTTTGTATGGAAGTTTCTATATTAGAAGGAATACAAAGAAAAAGGATACTGCCTTAAAAAGCAATATCTATCAGAAGATTTAGGTAATAGCTACCATGCAACCTAATAAAAGCTTTTATTACACTGTTTAAAATATATTTAATACCAAAAGAAAGAAAGTTGATACTTCCTTGGCAGCACTTGAAAGAATCTGAGTGGAAAGTCCATGAATTATGCTAATTGTGTTTCAAGCTAATATTGTTTTTCCATCTTTCCTAGAGCCATTTTGAGTAACAATGTTAAAAACAGTGAAAAACTTCAGTACCATCTTAACTTTGTGAAAAAAAGGTAATATACAATTGAAATATGAATCAAACTTTTAAAAGAAAATACAGCTACCTTCTTTGTTGCCACATCAGACATTTGAGGAATATGAAACCTTTTTGTTACTGTTCTTAAGAGAATAACTGCTATTGCATGTGTTTCTGGAGCAAGTGAATACGTTTCAGAGAATTTATTAGGAAGAATCTGAAATTACAAGTGCTTACATTGGTCATTTTTGTATATCGGGACTTGGAAAATTATTTTGTCAACTTCAACTGTCTTTAGCTTGATTATTGAACAATTTCAAATAAATAATTGTCTTTACTCTATCCTTAAAGATTGCTACAATTATGTGAGACCCTGAAAGTCCCTCCTACAAATCTGAAAAATTTAACTAAAGTGTCAAATCTACTGAAAATGGAAAAAGCACAGCACAAAGCTAACGAAGAAGGGTTGACTTTGTTGCAGGTATGGAGTTTGGGCAGAATCCTTAGATTAGAATTATTGGAGAGAGAAAAAGACCAGTATTTCTGATATAATTCCAGCCATAAATAGTAAATGTTAGACCAGGTTTTTCAAATTTTCATTATTTTAATCAAAAGGAAAACATTGCCGGAACTCTAGCCCTCTATAGTTATTAGTTATTAATTGTGCTGTATTATTGATTAACTAGCAGTCCTGTTTTTAAAAAAAATCATTTTATTAAGGGCTCATACAACTCTTATCACAATCCATACATGCATCAATTATGTAAAGCACATTTGTACATTCATTGCCCTCATCATTCTCAAATCATTTGCTCTCCACTTAAGCCCCTGGCATCAGGTCCAACTAGCAGTCCTGTTTTTGTTTTCATTTGGCATCGACTGCTTTAACTGAACTACTATAGTATTTTGATTCTCTCATTAGGGATACTCATTGCTAAATGCTATAGAATTTCAAAACATAGCAAGTGTTTCTAACCTGTCTGTGGTATTGTATCAGCTAGGAGAACACATTTGTCATTGTTATTGGGGGGTTCAAAATTTTAATGGGAAACAGCCCATTTTCTTTTAATGCTAGCTTTCCACCAGCTTTTTGAAGTCCCTCATATTATAGTTAACATAATGAAAAATTTCTATGTGCCAAGTGATAGAAAAATTAGACTGGAACCGAATGTGAGGTTCGATTAACAGGTTTTATTGGGGAACACAAGCCGAGAGTTTTTAAAGACTAGATAGAAGGGCAAGGAAGCATCATGAAAGGGGATAGGACTTGCAGAGTGAAGAGAGGTCGGGGTAACAGGGTAGTAGAATAGCCAAAGCCAGAGCAAGCAAAGAGCTAGACAAAGAAACCACACCTAATATGCCATAGGGGGCTGTGGTTAATAATTAGGTTTGGGAGGACACCATGTATCTTCCTAGTTGGCAACTTTGAATGCGGCAAGGGGTGACGTAAACTCTGAGGCTCACAGGAGCTTCCTTTGGCATGCTGGGGAAGATGTGGGGGGCTTATGGGAAAGTGACACTTGTAATGGCTAGGTGCTGCTTCACACTATACCCATTACCAAGCAATATTCTAAGCACTTTACAATTACACTCTTCAATCCTCATAGCAATTTAAAGATCTATAGTATATTATTCTCATTTCACCAGCGTGAATGAGATATATTGACATTGAGGGCTGTGATTCAGACCTCTTCAGTCTGATTTCACAGAATGATTCTTGGTCATTATGCAATTATATCCTATCGAAAATAATTAGAAATAGTATTAGCAGTCATGCTTTTTTTAATATGTAAACTTCAAGCTTTTACATGCAAACAACTGAGTAAAACAGCATGTAGAGTAAAAAATAATGCCTGTACCAAATAATTTGGCCTTTGTCTCTAGTTCTGAAAAGTTAACTCACACCTTTGGAATTTTTTAAGTAAAGTGACTTTGTTATTTATATCTCTAGACTAAACCTGAGGCCTTGTGTTAATGAGTGGGAGCTGGCCAGCTGACACCCCCACCCCACCCCCCCAGGGATTCCTGGAGACAGCCTTGGTGACTTAGTGATTATGCATTGGGCTACTAACCACAAAGCCAGCAGTTCAAAACAACCAGTAACTCTTTCTATTCTATTCTATAGAGCTACAGTCTCAGAAACTCACAGGGGCAGTTCTGCCCTGTCCTATACTATAAGTGGAACTGACCCAGTAGTGGTGAGTTTTTGAGAACAGAGAAGAGAAGGTGCCCAGTTGACTCAGTGAGTTAAACCTTAAGCTGCTAACCACAGCTTGCAGTTCAAACCCTCCAGTTGCTGCTGGAGATTAGAGTTTTAGGAACCCAAAAGGGCAGTTCTAGTCTGCCTTATAAAGTAGATCTGGGTCAGAAATGCCTCTGGCAGTTGTGTTGGGTTTAATAAAGACGTGGGCCAGTTGGTTAAGCATTGGGCTGATAACCAAAGGTCATCAATTGGAACGCACCGAGTGCTCCACAGAAAAAAGACCAGGCGCGCCATTTCTAAAATGTGTAGTCTTGAATACCCTGTGGAAGACTTCTACTGTGTCTCATAAGGCTGCTAATGTGAGTCAGAATGGGCCAGGCAGGGGGTAGAACATAATGAAATTAACACAGGAACAATTGTGAGGGTGGGGCAGAAGTGGACAGGGTTTTGTCCTATTTAAAATTGTTTCGGGATTTGTTATATCCTCATATTTAAGAACAAAGTAAGCAGGAGTCTGGCATTTCTACGTGACCCATGATCTTCATGGGCATATGATATAATTATTAAAAGTAGTTAATCAAAATTAAAGCAAAGTGGACAGTATATTCCTTATAGATATTTTAAAGTAGTTTGTCGATCTAGTGTTTAGGTGTTTGCTAACAATTGATTAATGTAAGGTGGGTAGGTTTATGTTAGAATGTATCCTCAGGGATCTCTAATAATCTAAAATTCCCAAATCATTCCAATTGTTCCAGAGGATTTAGAATAAAATGAGAGGCTTTCTGAGACCTAATTGACATATTATAATTTAATTTTTTTTAGTGGTTGTCTCCCATTGTGGCTGTGCTTTTTTTTTTTAATATTCACTGATTCATACGCATTTTGTTTCATCTCATTTGTTGCAATACCAACAATGTAACACCATTTGCTGTACCTACTCTTTCTGTTTCCTGTTTCCAGCCCTCCTTTGCTAACCTTTTGGACTTTGTCCTTGTGTAAATGTCTCCTTTTGATCTCAGATGAGATGGTTGATTATTCCAAGGAATCACACTCCACTAGCGTTGTTCCCTCTTTAAAGTTGACTCCTGTTTGAATGAAAACTGAGCCACTAGGGTGAGTGGAGTTTCGTACCTGAAGGGTGACTAAGAAGGGACATAATCTTGGGGGTTCCCCTAGTCTCTGTTCAACCCGTAAGCCTGGCCTCCTTTTTGATTTTGAGTTGTTTCATATTTCTCCCACTCTATTCAGGACCTTCTGATGTGACCCCTTTCAGAGTAGTTGGTAATGGTACCTGGGCTATCACCTAGTTCTTCTAGTTTCAGGGTCACCTTCACATGGTCCAGTATTGCAGTGGACTGTATCTTTCTATGTGTCTTTGCTTTCCATCACTCTTCTTCTAGAGCGGGAAAGACCAATAGTTGTACCGAAGAACGTTGTTCATGAGGGTTTATGACTCATCAAATTAGAATGTAGAACATTGTCTTTATGACCATGTTATCCCAAATGACCTGGTGTCTCCTGAGCTATGGTCCTGAGCACCTTTGCCCAGAGATTCATTCCCTCAAGGTTTGGGTTATGTTGAAGTAGTTTTTATAACTGTCCTCTACAGAATTTTGTTTTTTACAATTAAAAATGAAAAACCGTTTGTAACTCTTCTACTCATAGCTCTGGAACTTTACAGAATGCGCAGACAGGTAGTTTGATAATACCTGCAGGTACTTTTTAACAAGTTTTTACTAGAAACCATAGTGGATTTACTAAGGAAAACTGTGCCAGCAACCATTCTGCATTCAATATTTGGAGAATGACACACCAACAATATTGCTAAGGCAAGATTTAAAAGTTGTTCCTTGATTTCCAGAATCAGTATTTTCATTGACAGTTACTAGGACTAGATTAGGAAACAGTGCAGGGTATTTTTTGATGTTTTTTAAAAATGTTTGTTTTTGTTATTGTTGAGAATATTCAAACAGAACATACAAGGGGACCCAAAAATACTGGAATTGTGCTGAGCGGAGATTTTGTAGCACTCATTTTTTCTCAAGGCGAGCATTGGGCAGTCCAGTCAGAGTTAGTGCACCCAGTGACATTGCCTGGGAAGTTTCTCACTGGTCACAGTGAATTTTTTCATAAAACCAGTTCAGCACGATACTCATTTTCTGAGATGGCCAATTTAAGAGAACTGTGTGTGGCTGTGAAACTTTTCCTGCTCAGGAAAAATGCTGCAGAAACTGCTGTGATGTTGAACACAGCTTACAACGACAGCACTATGGGAAAAATTCAAGTGAACACATGGATTTCTGATTTCAAAAAAGGTGAAATGTTGATTGATGACAAACCTCATTCTGGATGTCCAGCAACTTCCTAAATGGATGAAAATGTTGGCTCGTGCATTTGGAGTTCATTCCACCAGGTCAGATCAAGCTTTCTGTTGAGGTTCTGAAAAGACTGCGTGACAGTGTGACAAAAAGGCCTAATTTGTGGCAGACGGGGGACTCACTTTGCCACCACAATAATGCATCTACGCACACAGCCATCTTAGTGCACCAGTTTTGGGCAAAAAACAGCATGCCTGCCTTGCTCCGTGCACCTTACTCACCTGACCTCGCTCCATGTGACTACATTTTGTTTCTGCAATTACAGGGGGACATTAAAGTACAATGATTTAATGATGTAGAAGAAGTAAAGGAAATAAAAAAAGGGATGATGAGTTTGAAAAATGTTTCCAAGAATGGAATCGCAGATTTAACAAATGTTATAAGTGTAATGGACAGTACTTTGAAGGTGATAAAGTTGTTTTTTAAAAAAATTTAAATACACAGTTTTGGGGGGGAAATCCATTTGGGGGGGGGTAGCCCATTGTATATTCAACATTTCCTACAGGCGATATTTAAGTGTGCTGACTATGTTCTTCAATCTGTGCTACCATTTTCATTCTTTTTCTAAACTGCTGCTTCCCCATTATCCTAAATACATAGCTCCCTACGTTTCCTATCTAACCCTTCTAGTGGCTTCCATCAATTTGATCTCATATACGTAGCTCAAGGCAAACATTCTTTACTAGGTAAGCTAATGTAACAAGACTTCAGGAATATTTTCTGGTTTAAAGTTTATCTCGAGGCAATAGTTTCAAGGGTTCACCTAGTCTCCTTGACTCTGGAAGTCCTTGATTTCATGAGAATTATAAACTATATTCTACATTTACCCCCTTTAAATACAGAATCATTGATCAAATGATAGCAATAGTAATGAGAGAGGGAAGACATTTATTCATAGAGGTAGTTAACCATCCATTCCACGTATTCCTCCCTCTTCCTCTGTTGCTCCAAGCTAATAGAAACCAACTGTGCTTTGAAAGGCCACTGAGCAGTGCAGTTCTTATTCCCCTTTTGAAACCTGCAGGCTGGTGATTAATTCTATGCTTGGCCTAAAATCAGCACATCTCTGATTATTCCATATTCATTCTATTCATTCTTATTTTCTCTTTGTTCTCTAGAAATTACATATTCCTATAGAGGAAAAACTATCATTCATTTGTAGAAGTATGATTACCGCTCCATGCCCTAGTGCCAACATTGCCGTCAATACATAGAAAGAACATATACTCAAATATTCTTAAGTAAATAAAGAAATTTTAAAGTTAGCCTTTCTCTGCTTCACACAGCTAATGTGCTTCAGGAAAGCTTCTTACTGTGTTTGCTGTTATCTGTCCTGGGTCTCCATAGATACAGATTCAGCCGGTTCCATGATCTGTAATATGAACAGTTTGGGTAAGTTTTTAAGGAAATGTCCACGTGTGGGGTATTTTTCCTTGCTCCAGGGACACTCAAACTCTCTTACTATGCATCATTACATTAATAAGTTAACTTTCTAAAAAGACTGTGTTTTGAAAGAAAAAAAATGAAGATAAATCCATTTAATTCTTTTAGAATTTATTAAATTTATGAGTTATTTTGAAAATTATCTCAGGATAGGACAGTTTCGTTTAAAACATATATTTTCTTTTTCCTACTCAGGAAGAAGTAGATAACATCGTAGAGACTATAGAGTCAATGACTGGGAATATTCAGAGCCTAAAAAACAAAATTCAGATTTTGACAAATGAAGTGGAAGAAGTAGAAAAGAAGGCAAAACAGGTAATTTTTTTTTTCAAATAAGCAATTTCTTTCCTATCCATGATTGCAGACATTTACAAAACCATAACATCTAGTTCACCTTAAGAAAACACTTATATAAAGCAGTGATATACACAGTGGTTCAGGGAGGTGCAAGAGCAACTTTTAATCCTTAAAATGTAAACGTGAAAAAAAGGATGGAATATACAATGCAGTCTTTCCCACACATATACATGCACAGATGATTTTCTGCAGTTTGGTTTGGGGCAATTCTCAGATGCCGCTCCGGACAGTTGGTTGAATCACATTTGGACCCGCTTTCTTCACAAAATAGGGGCGAGAGCAGGAAATCAAAAGGTGGCTCTGGTGTGACGGAGACTCCTTGGTTGGACTAGACACTGTGATGAGTAGTTTTCTTCGTAGTAGCTCCGTGAGGGGCGCACTCACCGGTTTTCACGAGGCGCCTTGGTCATGGATCACATGCTCATTGTCATGCTAGGGGAGTAACTCTCACTCTGAAAAGGATTTAAGAAATTTCCCCCCCTCATCTCCCCATCATCCCTTGGAGTACCCAGCAGATTACTCAGGCTCATGTTATTTGGAGAATTCTTGGAAATGCTGCCCATATCTCCTGAGCCTAAAGAGCCATTCATGTGATGTGACTCTGTTCCTACTAATCCACCCATCGGACCATCGGATCTGGGGCCCATTGTAAAATTAGGTCTGTAAGGTCCAGGAGGTGCTGCATTCATTGAAGTATACATACTGTCTCCAGAGTTGGTGAATCTGCAGGACTAGGCATGATGGGTGTTCCTGGTGGCCCTCCACCTCCTGGAGGACCTACACAATTCCCAGGAGATGCTGAGGAGTATGGTATGAGTTGGCAGTTGTTTGATTTGGCCAAGGGCTGCCACCATCTGGTCACGTGTTCATTCCAGGCATTCCAAGGCCACCTAAAGCATTCAGTGGGGGGTCTCATTGCACCTCCATGGTTCTGTGACCCTAACGGCACCATTCCTCTTGGAGGAGTCATTCTCTGTATTGCCTCCCCCCCCCCCCCCCCTTTTGGATGTCCTTTTGTCGAGTTGGGTCCGTTCCACTGGGAAGTAATGGCTGACTTCCTGGGACACCTCGAAGTGCCTGGTTAGGTATCCTCAAAGGGGCCTTGGGCCTCCAGGGCACCGAGGTGACATAAAAGGCTGAAAGAGCCCTGGTGGTACAGGACCTACTGGCATGCCCTCTGCTGGGGGAATGTTTCCTAGCACTGGACTGGGCGCTGCTGCAGCACTATAATCATGAAAACTTTTGCTTCACTTGAGTGTTCACATGTTTCCCGCCTTTCTGGAGCTGCACAGTAGAGATCCCAAAATACACACCACCAAGGATGTAAGAATCCTGGTGGTTCCCCCAATGTGATGGTTTTTTCCCATCTTATCTCTGATAAAAATGTGTGGGCAGATTTCTGAGCTCCTACGTCGAGCAGATAGATATTCATATGCATAGTGCGAACTTCTCCTGGGCTTGGCTCTCGGACGGGACAGCACTGCTGTTACTCTTGCCTGTGCTGTGCATGCTTGTGCTGAGAGCAGCTCCCACTATCACGCACCTGTCAACCCATCATAGCCTCCCCGGGAACAGCTCCATCCCCATGGCGACCCACACAGCCACCCCCACTATTGACCGCCCCATGCCAAAGCTCCCAACAGGTAATTATTAAACACTGTAGCCTATAGATAATATTTTTGTCAACTTATACCAAGACAACTTATGAGTATAATAGATTGGAGAAGTCAGCCTTTGAAAATAATCAGTACCTTTCTGTTCCTATTTTAGGTGCTTCAAATAGATCATAGTGGGGTGCTCAATCTTCCAGAACTTTCTGAGCGCAGTCTCAAAGCACCCATACTTCAGGTAAATGCATATCAGCCATATTCACTATATCATGACATCTAGATTGCATATGCAAGGGAGTTTCAAAAAGTTCATGGAAAAAAAATCTCTTTTGATACCATATTTCCACAGATTTTTTGAAGGCCCACGTATATAAAAACATACTGGATAAGTGACTTGGCAAATTACTTTTCTCGTTTAACCAGACAGTTTGGACATTCTTCTTTGTCCCTTTACGTAGATCTATTTCATTCTTGTCAGTAACTACATAATATTCCATTACGTAACATTCCATTTTGTTTATGTGCTATAATACAATTTATGAATTACTGATCTTAAATAGTTTTGCTACTACAAGTTATAGGCTGAGTTATGCCTTTCTACACATTGTAGAGTTTCTGGAAGTAAATTTTGTTTAAGTTTCTAATATGATTTTATAAAATCTCATTGTGTTTTATTGTACTGGACTACATTCATAGTGTGTCTTCTTTCAAAGGCTGCTCGATAGATGGTGGAAAGATAATAGAAGGATCCTATAGTGGTGGAAATTCTTCATATTTTCTTGAAAAGTCATTTTAACTGTTTCTATATGTAATTTGTCCTTGACTTGTGGTGAAAGGCCCAGAATGAGCACAGGGAAGATAGAGTAAGATGGAGTTCTGAAAGGTGACTGGCCACAAGTTGATGATTGGAGAGGTTGGGTGATTAGCACAAGTAGATGATTATGCTATTCTGTTGAAATTACATTTGTCATTCCCCAGAGCAAAAGCTTAAAAAGAAATTGTACTGTTATACCCACAGGATGAAATTTTGAAACTGATTCCCAATCAGAATGGTCTTCTGAAGGACTTGGAGACTCTGCATAAGTCATCCCAGATGAAGAACATGTTAGCATTCTTCGAAGAAGCCTATAACAAACTGGATGCCTCTTAAAAGTTTTATATGAGAATGTTTTATATTAATTTAATATTTATGGATTGCTAAAACTGTTACCTACAATGATATTACAGATGCTGAAGCTTCTGTGGGAATTATCATCCTCAAATAAAAATAGAGACTGTGCAGATCTCTGATGAGCATCTAGTATAGTCCTGGAATGAGTTTTTCATAGCTGCTGAGTGGGACACCATGTTTGTAGTGCTCTATCTCCAATTGTTTGCTTGGAACCGTAAGAACAGCCACAGTCTGATAGTTTATAATGTCTGAATGGAGCTCATTATTGGTCATATGACAGATAAAATGTGATGCTGTGAGTCAATATATGCAAGATGCTGATAGTGCCTAGTCCACAGGAACATAAGTGTTAGTTAAGATTATTATTCTTTAGCTGATGGCTTACGTTTTGTTTAGGTATTTGGATCATAAGACCCTAAAGTGCCATTACTCTCTTTCATAGCTTCTTATTCTTTTAGTGAACTAACTAAAATTTGCCAGATGTTTTTAACATGTTTCCTTTGCTTGAGCTTCGGAATAGATACTGAGAATTTCTTTTCACTGACATCAAAGCATGCTTATATTTTGGAAAACTGTTACGAATGAACCTAAGCACATCTGATCAACAAATCAGAGGATTTGAGGTAGCTTCTTAACGCTAAATAAAAATGGTTTTTGTTGTTGTTGTGATAATAAATCTATATCTCTGAATATATTGTCACTTAATCTATAAAAATAATTTCTAACCAACTATCTTAGGCTGGGTTCTCTAGAGAAGAAAATCAGCGAAGCTGATTTATATACATACTTACAATGTATATGTACAAACGCACACAAAGTAGTTTATATCAATTAAAGAGCTTCTATAATAGGCAAATTCCAAGTCCATCACAGGTGTTAGACTGGAGGCTTCTGTCTTGTAAAACCCAACATCCACAGATTTAGAGGCAGGCGTCGGCCCTATATATGAGGCTTGACTTCCTTCTCAAGTCTCCAGGTTATGGATACTGAACCCTGCAAGCCTACTTCTGCCCTACTCCATCGATGGTGAGAATACCATCACCTCAGACAGAAGTCATCAGCCAATGGTCCATGGCATAAATGTGTCACAGGACATGCTTTTCCATTAGCACTACAGTTTTTAAAAACATTGAATTTTTAGCCAATATTTAAAATATTCACATTTTAAAAAGTAGAATAGCTTAAGCAAATGGGAGAAATAGTGAAATAAAATAACAAAGATTTCCAAAGACAGCTCAAAACTATAAAATAAAGTTTTTTAATAATATGCATAAAGACCTGGATTTATAAAACCTCAAACAAGAAGAGCATGCTTAACATTGCTCAAGCTGAAAACACTGAATACGAAATTCAATCCTTGAGTTTCAGTACTAGTTTTTTTATGGACAAAATATTGAATAACATAGGCAGCACCAAAATAAGATGGGATATAAACAGTCATTATACAAAAAATAATTGGCCGATATTCAACAATTTTAAGAGATAACAAATGACCACAAGCTGAGATTGTTGAAGGAAGCAGTCTCAGCTGTCCTGAAAGTGAAAGCATCGGTGAGAAACAAGGCTGTAGGAATTGGCTTCATGTGAAACACAGCACGGAAGGTGTTCACTTGTCTATGCCAAGGCATTTGGTGTAAAGTCATCTGGTCAAAAAATAGGAAGAGATCCATATTTATGGCAATCCAACGTATGGCATAATCTGTGGCAATTATCCAAACAAAAGTCATCCAACAGAATGTAGACATTGTTGAATAATTATTAACATCACATGCACGGAAAATGTTGCTGAACATATTTAAAAAGCAGCTACAGCAGTGGATTAACAAAGAACTATAAGACTTTCAAGCCAGATCGGGAAAAGATGTGGAAGAAGGGATATTGCTGATGTCAGATGGATCTTGGCGGAAAACAGAATACTAGAAAGAGGAGTAACTTTTATTGATTACATAAAGGCATTTGTGCAAATCATAGATAACATTTCAACACTTGGGAATTCCAAAGCACTTTATTGTGATCATACAGAACCTCTGTAAAGACCAAGAGGCAATTGTGCAAAAATAACAAGGAAATACTGTCTGGTTTAAAATCAGAAAAGGTATGCATTGGGGCTGTATCCTTTTCCCATACTTGTCCAATCTGTATGCTAAGCAAATACTCTGAGGAACTGGAATATATAAAGAAGAATTTGGCATCAGGATTGGAGGAATAATAACCTTCAATATGCAGACAATACAACCTTGCTTGACTTGAAATAAAAGGTAAAAGACTATAGCTTTGATGAAGATAAGAGATCACACCCTTTCGGTGTGGACTACATGCCAATACTAAAAAAACAAAAAAACATCTTGACTAATAACACCATGATAAATGGAGGAAATGTTAAAGTTGTGAAGAATTTCGGTTTACTTGGATCCACAATCAACACTCAGGGCAGCTGTCATCTAAAATCAAGGCCTGTGTTGGATTGGGCAAATCGGCTGTGAAATGCCTGCTCTAAAGTAATTCAAAGAAAAGATGTCAACTTTAGGACTTAGGTCACTTGACAGAGGCCACCATCTCATGCGTGTGAAAAACAGTCAATCGATAAAACAAGAATTTATGCATTTGAATTGCATTGTTTGTGAAAAATATTAAATATACCATGGGCTGCCAAAGAATTAGCAAGTATGTTTTGGATGAAATGCAACTGAAATACTCCTTAGATGCAAATATTGCAAGATTGTGTAGCACGTACTACCTGGAGGCCATCCTGCTTTGTAAAATAGAGAGTCAGCAAAAAGAAGGAAGACCCTTCAACAAGATGGATTGAAAAATGACTGCAATCATTGAGCTCAAACAGGAAAGATTGTAAGGATGATGGACCAGTGGTGTCTCATTTTGTTGTTCATAGGGGTCACTTAATTGGGATCTACTTGAAAACAGTTAACAAGAGCAACTATGTGCCAAAATAGATTCCAGATAAAGGCAAAATTAAAAATTCAAGGAACATGAATGAATAGCGGATGTCAATGTAACCAAGACCCCATTATACATACAACCAAAAGACCAAACACTGCTATAGAGAGTTGTTTCCAACTCATAACGACCCTTGATGGGCTGCCCCTGAGCCTCGTCTTCTCCCACAGAGGGGCTGGCGGTTTCGAACTGCTGGCCTGTGATTAGTAGTCCAATGGGTAACCACTGTGACACCAGGGCTCCATAAAGGTAAAAACAGTGATCATCCATTACATAAAACCACTTTTTAAAAGACTGATTAAAAACCCAAAAGCCATGCTGAAGACAAAGGACAAATGAAAAACATCAGCAACCTATGCAAAGTAGGTGATATTTGTCAAGAGCAAAACAAATACCCAGAGGAACATAGTCCTCAAAGGAAGATGTGTAAGTGGCCAATATGTATTTGAAAGATGCTCAACCTTATAAAAATAAATGAAAAGTGAAGTATTTTCACCTATCATATTGACAATTGAAAAAAGCTAAAAAGTATAACGTTTCTGAGCATCAGGGAAAATGGGTGACCTATAATGTTGAGGAAGATAAATTGATGGTGGATTTTTGTTTTGTTTTGAGGCAGCCTATACAGATAGGTTGTAGAATCTTAGGATAATGTTCCTTTAAAATTCTTAACATTACCTTAACCCTTTCCTTTACTCCAGCACTCAGTTGGGCATATCTTTAACAAACAGGTTTTGTGTAAATTTGAGACACCTGCACTGGAACCTAAAATTAAGGGATTAGCTTTCTTTTATTTGGTTGGATAGAATTTCTTGTCACCCTCTGTTTACCAAAAATAAATGCAGTCACACCTGTCAAAATGATTATTTGCATCCCTTACCATGGCTTAATTTCTAAATATAAGTCTTCTAAATCGTCTCGTGTTTCTTCCTTTGTCAAGAAATATTCGGTTCTGAGAAAAGGAAAAGTGAGAAATTAAAACATCCTAGTTGACTTCATCGTGGCTAAATGAGTCACTTTTTGGGTGGTAAGTAGATTTTCTTTTTAAGGGTTGCAACTCTTTAATGGATTTCTTTGCTAATAAACCACCAAACTATCATCTTTTTGCTTCGGTGTTTGCTCTCCTCATTAAACATTTCTGTGCTATTTTCAGGGCTAGGGAGTTACTGTAGCAGCCATATTAAAAATTTAGTTATAGTTGTTAATTTGGATAAAAAAGAACAAGAAAGAGGGGCACTTTCAGAATGTATTGGAACTACTATAGAGCACAAATTATTTTTCAGCTAATGGAAGCAAACATGCTTTAGCCAGTTTTACTCCTTTACACGTCCAAAAAAGGTTTCAACTAGAGTGATCACAAATGACTGGCATTTGGGGAGTACTTCTATATGCCAGGCATGGTTCTAAGCCCATTACATCTATACATGTATTTACACTGTTATTTTAATCTCAAAGACAATTCTACAACTCAATCCCATACTGTTGGTCTGGGTAGGCGAGAGATACAAATCCACAGAAACTCATATGTATATGAGAGAGTTTTATATAAAGGATTAAGTGTACATTAAGAAAGCATCTCAACCCGGTGCTGTCCAAGCCCATAAATCCAACATTAGCCCATATGTCCAACACTAATCTACAAAGTCCTCCTTCATCTCACAAAACACACGCAATGACGTCGACTGCAGAAGGAAAGCTGAATCAGTGAGCGGGTAAGCATCTCAGTGCTGGCAGGGGTCTCCACGCGGCTGCTCCAGCACCGAGGGCTGCATCAGGGCAGGTCCATGTAGTTTCTCTTCAGGGATATCCCCCAGGAAGTAAGTCTTGCCAGCTGAAGCACGGAACTGGCTAAGACAGCTGCACCCTGGTCCAACCATCAGATAGCAAGAGAACGAGAAGCATAAAGGTGAGGCTCACCAAGTCATTTATCTCTCCACCTTTCAATAAATCCCACATGTGTTTATCAGTCAGGTTGGCACAATAAACCTTAAATATCTCACCTATTAATTATCCCCATTCTATAGGTAAAATAGAAGCACAGAAAGTAACTCTTAAGATCACCTATAGTAATGTGATAGAAAGTAGTGGAGGAAAATGTTTGACTTAAGAACACGGGAATAGAATGAGCTACTAAATCAAATAAGTAAGTAAATCCTGTTGTATAAAATAAAATTCCAATAATTTCTCTGGATATAATGATAATATGTACTATAGATTTGTTCACTTGGTTTCACAGAAGAAAATGTGTTTACATTTATTTACAAGAGCAACTTCTTTACTTCCCCCTTTTCCCTTTCCTTTGAACCTCAGTTAAATTTGGTTTAGCCTGATACAAATTTAATAATTGCCAACCACTGCCTTCTTCCTAAAATTGTGGTATATTTTTGCTTATTTGCTTATTTTCCTTTAAGGTAAACACCAACTGTTCTAATGAATTCTGATGGTTCTTAAGCACCAGGAGCTTTTAAGTGGAAAGAAATAGAAATCCTCTGGGGATGTGGTAGGAAACAATATAGTCTAAAATTATATGTCTCTCCCAGAGTTCATAAATAACCAGATTTCTAGCTTTTTAAGGGTTTCTTTGATATTTTCCTTAATATCTGATGAATGTCTGTTGGTAGATACATTTCTGCCAACGTTTTGAATGTGTCTTCTCAGTTAATATTTAGAAACACTAGTTTTATATTGGATCCAATGGCCTTACGTCATATACATTACCCTCAATAGCATCTTTTTTTTTTAAGTTATGTAGTAAGAACAAAAATCACTTATTTTGACACCCACTAGTTGACATTTAATAGAATTTCTTCAGTCACTTTAAACCACCTACTACCTATTGTATTAATTAGCCCCGTATTTTTAGCTGATGGGGGCTCCTAACTTCCCTTCACTTGATCATGATTTTGAGACAAAAAGATGGTAAACAGTATCCTTCCATCATACCACATTTCCTGAAGGGCTCTTCATATGCCTTTAAGATGTCTGTACCATTCATTTTCCAAAGGCTATGTTAGTGTGATGTGTGTTAAGACGTACCTGTAAACAAATGCTTCCTCTGTGGTTGCAATTACAGCTATTTTCAGACAGGTAGTGTGATCTTTGGATGATTTATCATGTAAGATTGTGAAAGAATCCCATTTCTCAAAATAACTCTCAATTATTCCACAAGTATCCTCCTTAGAAATTCCCCTATGCAGTCTGGGGAATTTAAGGAAGAAAACTCACTTGGTTCAGAATAGATATAAGCACATACAGGTCAGTAACCCCACATTATTTCTAGTGTGCCTCCATCTCCTTTTCATTCCCTTTCATAAGATCCCGATACATAGATTGTTTTATGTCTAGAAAATGCCACCTCTAAATCAAGGTCAGCATCCATTAGCTTTTATACATAAGCATAAATGCGATAGGTAGGAAGAAGTGGAAAGAAAACAGGTGTGCCGGTGCAAGTTGACTCTCACCTAACATAGTAAACTCCTCCCCTTCCACAATTTGCAGGCCCTTTCTCTGTTTCTCCTCCTCCACCCAATGAGGATTAAAGGCATAGAGTTAAAGAAGAAGCTGTCCATTTACGTGGGAAGCTCTACTCTGCTGGCACACAACTGAAAGGCCTCCGTATTCAGATTGAACTCTCAAGAGCAGGTAAGCACATATTCACCAGAGCAACATATTCCAAACCACAAGTTTACAGTTGCAGAAAGCAATGGGGAGACAGAGGAAGATAAAACTCCACCTCACTGAGAAAGAAGGCAGCATCATTGGGCGAGGGGAAAAGCAGTGTGGAAGCAACAAGCATGGAGTCTCTGTTTCACTCTTGCATAAGGAAATAAGAGGAATAAGCAATATAAAATTAAGAACATGAGGAAATAAGCACTGAGAAACAAAGTTATTTTCAGTGGTATGCACACAACGAGAGAAGCAGGTGAGAGCAGTCTCTGAACAGAAAACCTGCACTAGAAGGAAAAAGCAATAGCACTGAAGTGTAAATGCTTTAAGAAAAACAAACAGTCCCAAACAAACTTGTTTTCCTTATTATAAAAAATGCTCACAAATTAATTAAAAAAAATGCTTGCAAATGCTTTGTTTTTAAGAATTAAAAATCTCCAAGGAAAGTGTCAAACTTTGTTTGATTAATGTTAATCAGTAAGACATTTTAGGTGTCTGCTGTATGCTAATGGTTACTCAGGAAACTTCCTAAAAGTTATTTGAATATAATTTTCTAAGGCAAAGACCTAGTAGTGAGTTTGTTGCTCACACAGTTTGGTTAAAGATGTTACATACCCCTGCCTTCCAATTTTAGAACCCAGGTTGATTCTCACACATCTATCATTGAATGGTGGAAAGATGACATTTTGATCTTGCAACTTTCAGAGATAAGGTAGCACTCGGATATCACGTTTAAAGGTGTGAAAAAAACATTTTCCGTACCTATGAGAATCTGTGCAATCTTATTTTTGTGTGGCATTTAATACACCCTTTGTAGTGAATAAAAGATCTCTGTGAACTCCATCACCACATTTACTAAAATGTTGTTCATTAATTATAAAGCTTTCTCTGTGTAAACCCATGGGCCAAAAATGTCTCGATGATTTTAATATCCAGGAGATTTGTCACCGAGTATATGTTTGTGAGTTGCAGTAACCTTGTGTACAATGTAGATTAAAGCCAGATCAAAGAGGGGGTTAACTCTTACAAAGTTGGGGTCTAGACTTTATTTAGAGTTGATGCAAGTAAGTAGAAAGTCAAACAGATACAAGAGCGAAGAGATAAAAGCTGTATTTGTCTTTGCTCATCTTGAAATCTAGAAACTTGAGCTTTTGCAAATTGCTAACATTCACCCTTGTTATCAGTTCTGACTTATCTATAGAACACCGGCACCTCCAGTTCACTTGGAGTGGACTACAGCCCACAGGACTGGTTCATGAAGAATTTGCCCCTATAAGTTTAGGTGATCATCCAGACTCACATAAATTGCCAGCATCTTATAGATTTCAGGCAGACTCTAACTCCAACGCTGAGTATCGTGTAGCTCCACGGGAAACCATACAGAGGGATCAAATAACTTTGTTTGGAAAATGCATTGTGAAGGAATGATCCCAACTTTCCATCAAAATCTCAGAAGTCTTGGGTTTTCGTGTTTAGAATGCACTCTTTGCCATCCTAGTGCTTTCCCACTAAGGACATATGGCAGATCTTAAAACTGAGCAATGGGTTAGCTAAATCAGTCTGCCTTGAGCATTGTGCTCAGTCTGCCTTGAGCATTATGCTCTCTCCCTTAAGAAGAGTTTCTGGGGGGATTGTCTGGAAGGGAGGGAAAAGAGGAGGAGCTGATGCCAAGGGCTAAATGGAAGATAAATGTCTAGAAAAGAACGATGGAATATATGTAAGAATATGTCGGATACAAATGATGTATGATTTGTCACAAGAGTTGTAAGAGCCCCCAATAAGATGGAAGAAAAACAAAGAATGGTTTCCATCAGATCAAATTGACAACAGCAACTTGAAAGATTAAATAAGAACATTAAAGGCGTTGTTTAGGTTGAGGGTGAGAATGGTTGTCAAACTGGAAGAAGGCAATCAACATCTTCATGTTGCAATGGAGAAACTTGATTTGGTGTAGATTTTGCCGTGTGTATCCTCAGCGACAACAAAGGAAATAAAATCTAAGAGTAAAATAAAAGAGTACACGATTGAATTTCACTATATTAAATATAGAAAAAATAATTTTAATTAAGATCTGATTGGAATATTGGTTTGAAAAACAAAAACAAGTTTCCTAGAAACAAAGCAGGAGATATGGACCCTGAAACTTACAAAAAGCCATGGCATGAGATTGGATAATAGGGGGCATATATGAGAATGAAAATGTATAATTTCTTAATGCTATCTATTCTATATAAACCACAGCCTTTGCCCACATAGAATGCTTCATCATCAACTAGGTGTTTTTTCTCTCCAAATTATTCCTAATAACCACCAGACTAACTCAAACTTTTATTTCATTTTTGATGCCTACTGGGAAAAAGTAAATTGCCCTACTGAGCCCTAAGACTTTTATGCTGAGCTTTAGACTATCCTCAACAAATATTTAGCGTCCCCTATAGTCTAGGAACCCTGGTGCCATTGTGGGTTCCATGTGTTGGCCCACTAAGTGGTAGGCCAGTGTGTGAGTCCGAGTAGACCAGAGAAACAAATGCACAGAAACTCAGCTATATAAGAGAGAGTTTTATATATATAAAGGGTAAGTGTACATTAAGAAAGCATCCCACAGACAACCGAAAAGTGGATAAAGGGAGACGTCGGACAGGGCAAGATATGACAAAATACCCATTTATAAACTATCAAGGGCTCATGCGG